CAAGAGAAAGGCGAGACAGCATGCCTCTAGAATCCAACCTTAGGCCGGAACCTCACAGCTTGGGAAATCATATAGATTCAACAGCATCTGCCGCCCCAATCCCGTTTTCGACAAGCTTGGAGAGTGACCAGGCACGGACACATCTAACTACTCAAGGGGGCGGAGAACATGAAATCGATCTAGATGCAGATCTCGATCCTCGTTATCGGGATATTTCTCTGGAGCGAGCAGCAAACTTACTGCCCTTGGAGGCTGACACTTTATCTGGGTCGCTCGCAGGCGTCGGCAGCCATCCGGCCTGCTCGTTTGGACCAAGTTCCACAAAGAAATTGTCCCCAGACTCTGCGAATTGTGGAGAATCCCCTTTATCTGCGGCAACCCAATCTACCGATCCGTACGCAGCAACTGTGCCAGACTTAGGTCATGCACTAATCCGTGATCAGGACTGGTCCAGCCAGATGCCTTCACGTTCGGTATCCTCCTTGTTGCATTCCATATTACCTATCAATCCTGCTCTCAGCTTGCCGGAATCAAAAATGATGGAGGGGAATGCAGAGCGCTTCTCTCCCTTGACCGTTCGGTCAGCATTAGGGTATCCTCGACAGATTCTCCAGAACACGCCTTATCTGAGCGATTCGCATTTACCCATAAACCCGGCATTTACAGATAAAGTCCTGACTTCCGTATGACGGAAACTAAGTGTCACTGCAAGGTGACAATTGCGATAAGAAAAAGAACATCCGCTTCTTGATCCAGAATCAGGTTGTTATTGTGATTTGCGGTCCCAAGAAAGCAGTACGCGATACCCATGTCCCACGCTTTTGCGCTGTACAGATACTTATTTGGCGTGGCTTTTTGATTCATCGTTTATAACTGCAAAGCAGCGAGCATGAAGGCGAAACTGGAGTTTGTTTTTATTCTTTTCTTTTCCCTACTTCCATTTTTTTTTCTTTTGGCTTTCGGATTTTCTCGGTTTTCTTTTTTACTGCTTCTATAAAATTGCCGGGTCGTACCCACCTCGTCGTCTTTCTTTAAAAGCAGCAACAGTCTCATTTTCTTTCTCTTTGTCCTTACGAATGACATGATGACATCCAAATGGCCGGGTTACTTGTTATTGAACGAAGTTTATGTATATTGATTGGCACTGATGAAAGTCCCTCATGGCCATAGCTGTATTAATTCGATAAAGATTTGGTACGTTCAATCTTGACTTAGGAATTCCAAGGTGGAAGATCTTGACTGATGTAAGTCATTCTAATAGATATAGACAGCCTAAATGTAAATGCCACTGCTACACGAGTCTATTTGACTCTATTCAATTCACTATAACTCTACTTTGTTCACATGGATCGTCATCGTCATAATCTGGAATCCCGACACTCTTTGCTAAACACGTCTCATCCACTTTATATCCCCGCGATTGGCATGCTCTACTCATTCCTCTCCAGGAAAGCTTCAAAGCTCCTTTGCCACGGCTGTGTATCCGACCCAAGTCCTCGGCCAATAAGAACAATCTTACATTGCTTCTGGCCTTCATCGGATGACGTTGGTTCGGCATCCCGGATTTCAAATACGTCTCGGACAGCCTGAATAACCCTGCTGGAATCGTCCTTTGTGATTAATATGCCCTTGAGACGGTGAATATCGAAATCAACCGGGTGAGACTCAGGTTGAGATTCCGCAGGTGGCAGGGAGGAGTCCCAAAGGACGGAGCGAAGCCAGGCATCTACGAGTGGGATCTTTTCAGACGGGATGGGAGGCGTTGTTATTGCGATCGTCGAGATAGCCTGGTAAAACTGGTTAAATTCTCGGAGCTAAGGAGAAATAGGATGACTTACCGGGTCAATATGGCTATGTCCCTTCTCGCCGAAATCAAGACTAGCCAAATGATCGTAGGCATGCAGATCCAACACAACGCCTTCAATCTGGGGTGTCTTGCTGTGATCCGTTACATGGATCTTAGCGACACTGTTGATGGCTTGCACTCGTTCTTGGACTTTTCTGAGTTCCTCTGGAGTAACGAGATCAGACTTATTCAGAATGATCACGTCTGCATGCGAGATTTGCATGTGGGCCATGGATAACACGGGTCCCGAATGGACATGGTCATGGCCATCGTTTTCGTGACTGGGCACAGTCTCCTCGGGAGTGGGCTCATCTAGAAGATGTAAGATATTCTTTGCATCGACAAGAGTAACGATTCCGTCTAGATAGATGGAGCTGCCGAGGTTATCGTCGACCCAGAATACAGGCGCGATGTTGCCAGGGTCGGCAAGACCGGTAGTTTCCAGCAGGATGTAGTCGAACGTCCCTCGGCGCTCCATAAGAGACTCAATAGCCATTACGCCAGAGTCTCTATTTGTCTTTGGTCAGTTGTGTTGTTGTACGGCACGTGAAGAACTTACTTGACTGAGCAGCAGATGCAACCATTGCCGACTTCCATCCACTCGGTGACTTCTTGGCCATCCTGGTTTACCGTCAATGGCTTCTCGATGTCCGTGGCTTGATTACGTATTAGCGTCAGCACTGGTTTTCAGCGGTCTACATATGCTTGCCCGCTATGTGTATCCATGCTATATGACTTACAGTCACCGAACTCTACAATACTCTTAGTGATGATCGCATGACAGATCTAGGAAACCAACCATTCATTATCACGGCGATCTTCTTGCCATGCTTTTCATTCAGGATGTAATTTAACAAGGTAGTCTTTCCTGCACCAAGATATCCTTGACAAACTGTCAGCTGGCAGTCCCCTAGAAGTACATGCGTCAAAGTCCTACCGGTTACAAGCGTAATAGGCACCCGACTCTCTGACGGCGCATCTGCCTCTTGCTGTTCCGCATCGGGGATCTGAGAGATATCCACTAGTGCTGGAGGGGCTTCGTCATCGTCTATATCTGCCATGATGAGTAAGATTATGCGGTCGCGCCACGAGATATCCTAAAGTATGGGGAAATACAGTAGATGATCCGATTGACGGAATGACGTTACCTAGAGAGGATTAGCTAGGGCTTAGGGCACTGACTAGTCATGAGCTCCGCCGGCGGTATCTCCGTCTCCGTCCCGTCACTCCTTCCAGAAGCTCCGCTTGGTCTAAGCGCCTCCTCCGTCTCTCCTTAACAACTTGTTTTTCTTTCCTTCATTTTAACTTTCGTTTCGGCTTTCTTTCTAAATACATTCTTTTATTTCACCTTAAACTCTGCAATTGTTCAGACATGGCTGCTGCGGGAGCTTCTCAGGCTAGCTCCCCGCGCTTACCCAGTCCTCCTCCGTTCACAGAAGTTCAGATCGGTCCCAAATCGCCGTCGGTCGGCGAGTCGTTTGGTCAGGATGCAGAGCAGCTGATAGGTGCTTCCCATGGAGCTGATGATGGCTCAACTCGGAGAATTCGACCAGGAACCAAGTCTGTTGACATGGCAGTTGGTCCGCCTCTGGTCCCTCTCTCCCAGGTATGTAAACAAAACAGATTGCGCCGCACCTCCGCTAACTGGCGCCTCCCCCAAAGCTCGACTCTTCCTTCCAGCTCCAAGAGCACCTCAAGGCCCTCTATAATCACTACACCCGACCCGAAGGATCTGACACTGTCGTCCCGATCAACAGGGAGGTTGCCATTCAGCTTGCAGAGCCCCCGGAGGGCGTTGACCGGTCGCTTTGGCTTTACGAGCTTTGCCGCTTCCTAACAATGAAAGTAAACAATCTTATTATTGCTTTCTTTGCCGAGAACCCCCCTTGTTCCGCGCAGACATGCCCAGAGATGCGAGCGTCAGAATGGCAGTATCTCTGCGCCGTCCACGATCCGCCTAAATCCTGCTGTGCGATCGATTATTCTTGCCACACCCTGGACTGGGCAACCAACATCCTCACATCACCCAAGTACTTCCCTAGTCGTCTTACCCTAGGCTCAGAGGCAGGCGGTGGGGCTCAGGCGAGCATGAGACATTTGACCAACATCTTCCGTCGCCTCTATCGTATCTTTGCGCACGCCTGGTTTCAACATCGGGAGGTGTTTTGGCAGGTCGAAGGCCACGACGGGCTGTATATATTTTTCAAGACGGTCTGTGATCTGTACAGCCTGATACCAGAAGACAATTACACTGTTCCAGCTGAGGCGGAGGGTGCCGATCCCGTTCAACCGGCAGAGGAGCCGACGGACGGGCGTCGCATGACGATACTGCGGAAGGAGGGTGAAGGTTTTCTAGCTGCCACACTGCAAGAGCCACCGTCGGCGACCACTCGACGTCACAAGAATAGTCCGTCAACAAGTTCTCGGGTCACAACTGTGCGCGATGTGACGACCATCAGCGAAAGCGCCGAGGATGACGAGCAGCAGCCGAAACAGCAAGAAACCGAAAAGCCTGCAGAACCGGAACAGAAGGAACCAGAGCCTCAACCACCCGTGGAAGCCGCCAGTGACGAGCCCAAGGCCTCTAACGAAGAGGCACCAATCGGTATCACCGAGTCACAAATTACTGTTGCAGAAGTGCAAGATGAGGAAGAGACAGAAGCAGCTCCGCAGGCCGTTGACGCAGATACCGAGAAAACGGAGGAGGAATCAAAGCCTAGCACCGGGGGAAGCGATACGCAGAGAGATGGGTCCGAAACAGCCTCAACCGAGGAGGTCCCGAAATCCGAATCAGAGACAGAGGCAGAGACAAAACAAAGCACCGATGAAGAAGCCCAATCGGTGCCCGAGCCGGCGAAAGAGACGTAAATCTTGCATTCAACTGAACCCTATATTCACTTCCTTCTGATGCCATGCCATGTGTCTATACTACGATTGTAATATGCCTTGCATCACTATCATGCCTGTATTGATGACGTTATCTTTTTTTTTTTTTTACTGCCAAGCTGGATGGGGAAGGTTACTGGTGTGTAATATATGAAATTCGCGTATCCGAATGATTAATGATACCCATTGCCTATATTGAATTGGTAGCTCTTCGTAAACAAATGAGGTGCTGTTCCGTTGGATTAAATGTAGCTGAATAGAACTTGTCCGAGATCCACTCGACCGGCCATAAACAATGACGCTGCCGCTTCTAAACCTCCACACCCTCTGCACTCTCAACGACCACTTCGCAGTCAACTTGCCACTTTTCTTGTCACAGAAACCCCTTATAAACCCATCAATCAGAAACCCCACTTTTACATGCCCACCGAAGACTCCCCTTCCACAATGGCCCTCGCCATTAAAGGACCGATCCACTTCGGTCCCTTCGTCGTCACACCCCAGGTAAGTAAAAAGCCTCCGCCCAGGAACACCCCGATCTCCTCCAAAGAACACTAACCGATCCTACTAAAACCAGGTCTTCCACATCACCCCCCTCTCCTTCGCCCTCGTCAACCTCAAACCCATCCTCCCAGGCCACGTCCTCGTCTCCCCGCGCCGCGTCGTCCCCCGCGTCTCCGACCTCACCCCCTCCGAAACAACAGACCTCTTCCTGACCGTCCGTCGCGTGGGCCGCATGGTCGAGCGCGTCTACGGCGCAAGTAGTCTCAACATTGCCGTGCAGGATGGGGTGGAGGCGGGACAGAGCGTGCCGCATGTGCATGCGCATATCATCCCGAGGAAGAAGGCGGATTTGGATGCTCGTGGAGGCACGGATGCGGTTTATGATATGCTAGATGGGGAGGAGGGCGATCTGGGGAGCCATTATCGGCGGAAGAGGACGAGGTTTCCTGCCGTTGATAATGAGGAGAGGAGGCCGAGGAGTATGGAGGAGATGCAGGCGGAGGCGAGCATGTTGGCTAGGGAGATGGAGGCCGAGGAGTTGGATTGAGTTGGTGGAGTGCTGTGTGTAGTATTCATAGATGCATAGATCTTTTACTCTTATTTGCGTGGATACCCTTTTTTTCTTTTTTTCTGTGGATTCTAAGTTGGTTTGTGATTGAGCTTTACACTGGGTTCTTTCAATGTGTATGTGACAAGACTCATCGAGCGTCGATAATATCTAATCTAATCATGGGCCCATCCAAACGCCTCCACCTGTCTAGTCGTATGCATGATGATGATAATGAGGAAAGAGAAGCAAAGGAAAAAATAACCGGAAAGAAAAAGGTAGCTCGTAAGGCATCGACACCATTAAACATAACCCGAAAGGAATATTAACCGAAAGAATATCGTCCGTATCAATGATTCATACTCTTATGCCGAAACTCCATTGGCAGCCTTCTTCTTCCAGAAAGCTTCCCGCTCCTGGAGCACCGCCGCCGCCCATTCCTTGATCTCCGGTAGCTGGACACGGGTCGCGACATGGCAGAACTCAGAAAGATCGACGTCGTGGGTACGCTCGTACTCGACCATCTGCAGGAGAAGCTCCATCTTGTCGATGTCGTGTACGTACTTGGATTCCAGTGTCTCGTTATCCTCGTACTCCTGGAACACCTTCATGACCTCATCTCCGGTCAATATTCCACCGGGAACACCCCCCAGAAGGTTCTTGGTGATGTAGTTCATCACCTCGGCCTCACGGCGAGCCTTCTCTTCCTTGTTCACGTTGTCCACTGGGGTGATGTCGCCGACCAGCGACTCTGCCATGTCGTGGATGAGAGCCATCTTCATGCAATGGGGCAGGTTGAGTCGTGGGGCGAGCGAAGGCGGGGCGAGCATCGTCATCACCGACATACGGTACATATGGTCCGAGATCGATTCGCCTTCTATGCCGAAGCGGCGCCAGCCTTCCCGTTTGGTGGTCTTCAGGCGCTCGAGAAGGTGGAAGAACGGAATCGGGGAAGTAGAATTCTCCTCCGGAGGGTGAGGAAGAGTGGCCAGCACTGAATCAATCTGTTAGCTTTTGTTTACGGTTTCTGGGCGTTATTGCAGATTCCTCTCACCGGACTGCGTGGTCCAGAGGGGATTGGACGGTGTTTCAGAGCCCATTTTGAAGTTGTTCAAAACGGTAAAAAGAGATAGAAAAAATAAAGAAGCAACAATTAAACACGATACACAGAAACAGAGAGGAGAAGGGCCTTATATGCTTGAACGAAAGACTAACTGAGAGGGAGGGGAAAAAAAGGAGCCCAGAAAACTGAGGGGAGGTTCTGCGGGGCGGAGGGGGAAAACAAGAAGGCGGTGAAGGGGATTGATAACCAACATGATAAACAATATAAACAAGCACATGATTGGCACTCGATCTGTCGTCCCCGCAAACCACTTTCATTGAATCTCCTCGCGTTCTCCCCACCCACTGCTATTCCAGATCAGTTCTAGCATCTATGATCCGGTTCTTTTAAACGTCATTGTCTATGGCACTACCACCGGTGCGGACTGAGGATCCCTGGTATACAACCCCTTTCTCCTGTTCTTCGTCTTCGGGAGACGTCGTTGACCGCTTCAGTATCTTGCAACCATGCAGTCGGCCCGACCTCCCTCTCGGTCCAAAAGACCGGATTGGACACCGCAACCACCCATAGCTGTCTTTGTCCGGAACCTCCAGCTGCTACAACTAGACGCCCGTGACGACTGGCCGAGCATTACAGTACGCTCTTTGTCCCCCTCATCGCAAAACCAGCGCCAGCGTGTCAAGGCCATCGAATGGGCACTTTACCAATTAGTGGCACTCTGGGACCCGGAAACCGCTCGGGATGTATGTGCGCTTCAACCTCGCGTGTGTGGCATACCGACTGACAGAATACGCTAGAAACTCCGGCCCTTCTTTCCCCCACTGGAGCCATTGCAGTCAGTCAATCTGCGCGCCGCCCTGTTTCGTGTGTTGTCCGAGTTGAAGAAGAATGGGGACTTAGGAAAAGAGACTATCCTGCGGAAGTCAATGCTCGATGACTGCAAGGGGGAGAAATTTGACGAGCTTCTTGCGGTGTTTTCGACTGCAGTTCTCCGCAAAGCTCTAGCCGCCGAGGCGGATGAAGGACTTGGGACCCCCGCCATGAAGCTGTCAATGGCCTCGGGTTTGACTCAACAAGACTATCAACGCATGCTGCCCCTCATTCTTGCGCATCGCGTCTCTTTGAGAGGGATGGGAGAGCGTCACAGCCGAGTACGGGACACGCATGAGAGTTTCTCGCAATTGTTGGATTACAAAAAGAGTCAACTAGAACTTCAGTCCAAGGAAGAGCGTCCCCAGATTGCGGATGAGGCTGACTTCGATGGATTGGCACAGAAGGTCAAGGCCAATTGTCCGAGCAATGCAGATTGGGCCGATACTCTACTATATGGAGGTGCCCGCAGTAGCAGCGATGCGTTTCTCGAACTCCCTTTTTCAACAGCATGGTCCAAGGCCAAAGCGTCGACGGTAGAGGACCTTAAGACAAACACTGCTCCGGATCTGTTGATTGACTTGGAGACACGCATCACGAGACAGCGTGCCCGTTTGCAAAGATGGCATCAGTATCGTAGTTCGATGCTGAGACATGAGCGGGTCGAATCAACGAACTCAACAAAGAGTCCTCCCTTGGCGTTCCGGGACCACCAGGCACTCACTGTCGCCAGCATCGCCAGGGCTGTTCGCGAGCCAGTAGAACGCATTTCCCCCAAGGCGGATGATCGCGCCCTCCTGTTCTCCCTGACGGAAGCACTTGCTCGGATCGAAGGCACGCACCGCTCATCTTCACGAGCCACTTCGTTACATGCCCCTGTAGTCGATGCAGATCGTCGTATGGCTGGGCATGAATCGTCATCCTCAAGCAATACGTCATCCCCTCGATTGATTCAGCAAGATGCCACCGCCAAGAGCACACCCTCGGGCAGTGTTACATCTGAAGCAGATGATGCTATAGGTCGAGCTAGGTCTCCCTCGCTGCAACTCTCTTCTGATCTGGAATTCAAACCCGCCCAGCGCAAGGAGCGCAACACATATAACCTAATTGAGCGGACCCGGAAATCCATGTCGTTGGTTCCCCCTCCGCCGAGTAACCCACGGCCTAGAGAGAGTCTTCGACCCCGCCGTCCGCGGCCCTCCTTCCCCGTGAACCAATTCGAACTGCCCGAGAGGCAGACACCCGAAATCAGCAGAGCATCTACGCCCCGCGATGAACTGTTTGAGGAAGAGGCAGACTACGCCAGTGTTTTCAAGTCCCGGCCACGGGTCGCTCACAGCCCTGTTTCTTCGCCGGCAGTACACGTAAGTGCAGTGGAAGATTTCGATCTCGGCATGGACATGGATTCTAGACTGGAGATGAGCGAGGCCTATGGCTTGGATTCGCCCCTGCCTAGACGGCGTAGGTAACTGTCCCGGTTGTGGATCGCCTTGTACAGTTCACTTGAATCTTATACAGCATAGCCATATAGACAGTATACCCCTATAGTCTATCTGATTTATTTGGTCGATTAATAATACATATACACGGATATAACCAAGACAGTGCGCCAGTAAATTGTCATCAATTCCAATATCTCATATCTTTTTTTTACTCCTACCGTGAATCCGTGTCCGTCCCTAACTCCGTTATTACATAGCTACAAGCATCATTCCCAACAATACAGGATACCAAACACATGGTGTAAGGAAAGATAAAGGGGCATTACCCCTTCCGCGTCGAATTCCGGGTACGTCTCCGTGTAGGAGGAACATACTCAGGCTCCGATTCAGAAAGCTGCTCTTCAGAATCCGCTATCTCCGGCGAAGAAGAGAGTTCCTGGACGGAACTAGTATCCGGGATTTCCCGTTCCAAAACCCCTGCATCATCCGATTCAGCAGCAGCCTCGAGTTCACGTTCAGGCTGCGTAGGCTGGTGTTGCTCAACGATAAGATCTCCATCATCGCCGTCATCCTCACCAGGAAGAAGGAACCCTCCGCCGCGGTCAACCGGATCTCCCTCCTCTGATAGTTCTCGAACGTAAGGTTCCGGTGTAGTGGCCCGCTGACCTGATTTACGGCTTGTGAATGGATTATATGCGTCTCGCTCATGGTCGCGGGAAGACTCGCCGTATTCTTCGCGGACACGCTCGGCGATGCGCAGACCGAAGAGGAATTTGCGCCATGTTTGAAGGATGCGCGCTTCGGCTTTGCGGCGCTCTTTCTCGCGCTTTTCTGCGGCGTCGGCGCGCCAGGCGTCCTTGACTAAGTCTTCGTTTTCTGAGGCGATGACGACGCCTTCGATGACGGGGACGGCCATCTTGGAACCGAACTCGAAGCCCGTGACGGCTTCGGCGTAGTCGATGCCGAGTTTCTTGCAGATGCGCACGGTACCGGGCCAAGGGATGTGCGTGGCGCCGCGGGGCACCATGCTGGGGACGAAGCAGTCGATGTTGCCGTAGTCGTTTTTGGGGATGACGCCGTCCCGGATGGGCGGCGGGATGATGTATTCTGTTTGGTATTTGGCGTAGAGGCCCTGTTTGGGCTTTTCGCCGGTTTCGCGCTCCAGTTCGTCGACTTCGCGTTTGCGGAGGAGCGTTACGGCGCGGATGGGCACTCGTTTTAAGGGCGCTTCTCCTTTCTTGATCTGTCGGCCTTCTTTGTGCCAGCTCTCGGCGGAGAGACATTTTAGGACGTCTGCTCGTCGGTAGATCTTCTCTTCCTTGGCTTTGGGGCCTTTTCCGCTCACGAAGGTGCGGACGTGCTGGGAGCCTGGTTTCAGGGCTTCTTCGCGGCGGAGGAAGCGTTCTAGGACAAACTCGGTTGAGGCCTTGAGGCTTTGGAGCGTGTCACCTTCCTTGGCTGCCTTTTTCTCGGGTTGATTGGGCACCAGGTCATTCGCATCCTCAAGGTCGTCGACCGCTGTCCGGCTTTTTGCTGAACGCTCGTAGATTCGTAGGATGACACGAAACCAGCTGTACTCATGGAACTTGCCTCTCCGGCCGGGCACGGGGATCTTTTCGACTGGCATTCGATAGCCCTTCGTCTTGCCAGGCCACGTACGACGACGGAGATACCGCGTAGTGACATCTTTTGCCGTCTTGTCGGACGAGTATGCTACCACATAGCAAATCACTTGCTTGGCCTTCTCAGCTTTAGCCCCTCGAGGCTCGAATGCGGCCTGGAGCTCTGGCGTCGTCGCTACAGCATTTGGTAATACCAGCGGGTCAACCGGAATAATCTGGTGGGTAATCGGAGACGCAACTTCTGCCCAATAGATTGGAACAGGGAGATCCTTGTCATACCCCTTGGGGTTATTTCTACTGCCCGTTGGTTTCCGGTCAAAGCTGTCATCGGAATCTACATCCATAGCATCCTCAGTTTCCCCAGTCTCAGTTTGGGCTTCTGCCTCAACCTTGGCTTTCTGCGTGTATGTCTCCGCCTTGGTCCAACCAAACCCTAAAGGCTGAAGACTGGCGACGAGTCGAGCTTCGATCGAGAGCGCGCGAAGTAATGCAGTGAACAGCTGAGCACCCAGATCGCGAGACCCTTCCATCCGCTCTGCAGCCTGTCGAAACTCATCGATACCGCAGACCCTCTCCCCAAATCTCTCAGGATCGTGTTCTTCCTTGTTAAAGGCGGATATGTCAGCCTCGAGATGGGACATAGGCCGATAGCCACGTTTTCGTAGTCCCGGGGCGGTAATCTTGAATTGTTTCTTCCAGAATGCAGCCAGGACCTTGAGTAATGTGATAATGGGATCTCCGCGGCTCATATCCGGCTGACCAGGTTCCATCCGCGACGAGCCCTCGCCCCAGTCTCTCTCCGATTTGCGACGCTGCTTCCCTTTCTTCTTCTTGGTAGTCTCTTCCGGGGGCTTTTCGGGAAGCTCCAAACCAGAAGACACTTTCCATTTTTTGACCTCTTTATGAAGGGCGTCAGGTAGCTTGCGACGTAGAATATCGTGGACCTGGGGGTCGTTTGCCCAAGCATTTCGGAGAGCGTTGTGGTGGAGCAAGAACTGGACGTGCAGGCAGTGGGTAAGGACCCGGATTTGGCGTTCGATTTTGGATGGAGCTTTCTTCCCGTCGATAATATCGGACAGATGAACCTCGTTTTTGTCGAGAGTCAACTCTAGATCCTGGACGTGGGCGGGTGTCATCGAAGGAGTAGTCGCTGTGGCGGTGGTAGCCTTCGATTCGATTGCATCTTCCCAATCCACTTCGTCATCGTCCGATTCTGACTCGTCGCTAAGCTCATCTTTGGTTTCCTGGTCCTGAACAGCAGCTTCACTAGGAACGTCGCTTAATGGGGAGTCTGATTCGTCATCGAGAGCGGCGATGTCGACACTGGGAGCAGCTGTCGCATTGTGGCGTTTGGCACTGGGCGGATCCGCGGAGGAGAGTCGCTTGCGGGGGACGAAGGGGGGCATACGAAGAATTCAGGGGGGATTATTTAGAGAGGAGAGTGACAGACGAGGGCGAAACGAGCGAGTTGGACGAACCGAGGACGATGAAAGATTGTATGTAATTTCACAAGAGTTTGCGGAGTTGTCCGCGATAACGATAAGTCAGTCAGCCGAGGATTTATGATTTAAATCAATTGAATCTAGATTCCCCGGAACTATTTCCCCGCCTTTTACTCTCGTCATTCCTCTTCTCTCTGTACTCATTTCCGGGTTTCCTCTTGAGACTATTTAGTCATTATCTTACTGTTCTTCCCTCTCTTTTATTTCCCCAATCACAATCAATATGGAGGCAGTCAAACGTTTCTTCTCCTCCCCGCGCTTTGCAGTTGCGGGCGCAAGTAACGACAGCAACAAGTTTGGTTACAAGAGTAGGCATATGAACCCCCAAGCTCTAACCGATCACTAAGTAACGATATACTGATGGATTAGTCCTCGCATGGTATCACCAGCATTCCCTACCTGTCACTCCTCTCAATCCTCGCGCACCGCAGATTGAACTGCCCTCTCGTGCCTACGATACGGTCGCATCGCCCAGCGCCTTGCCTACGCCTTCGCAAACATCCTTGTCGGTTGTGACCCCGCCAGCGATCACTCTACCATTGCTCCAGGAGGCTCATTCAGTGGGAATTCCGGCCGTGTGGTTGCAGCCCGGAACGTTTGATGACGCCGTCCTGGAATTCGCCCACAAGCACTTTCCGGCAGTGATCGCAGGCGATGGGGGAGCGGGAAGTGAGGGTTGGTGTGTTTTGGTGGACGGCGAAGAAGGATTGGAGGCTGCAGGAGTGCAGTGGGCGAGCCAAAAGCTGTAGGGCGATCAAGAGTATCTATCCCGAGGAAGCGGTGTATATAGTATAGGTCTCGCCACCAGTGAATCTCATCGTCTCTCGACATGAAACTAAGGTAGATTCGTAGTTCTAGCCGCCTTCTTAGAAGTAGCGGTGGACCAATAAGCCTTGGGTCACTGCAAGAGCTCACATGTCCTGCTGAATGGATAGAATCCATTGGCCATGGCGCATGAACCAAGCGATGTTCGACGACGACACCGGAAAAATAAGAGGCTTGGAAAAAGGGTAATTAGTGGCTTAGGGAGTGAATCATCGGCAACCGTGAAAGGTTTGTTGCTGCGGTGAGACAAGTTAATGGATGCCAAAATCGAGCTAATTAATCCCGCCCCCCGTATTTTCATCGTTTCTTCATGGACTAAATTCTTTGCTCTCTTTTCCCTCTCCCACGCTTGCCTTTCTTCTGTATACTCTCCTCAACCACTCTTTTTCTACATTCAACCCTCCCAGTAAATTAACAAAAAAGGGAAAAGGAAAAAAAAAAAGTTACTATACGTTTGTCACAAGGGGAAAGAGATGCCCACCACTTCCTTCGTTCTCGACTCGCCCATCCCTCCCCAACTTGATCTTGCTGGTGCTCCCTCGCAGCTCTTCCTGCCGCCGAATCCCTCCGCCTCGTCGGCCCTTTTTCGATCCATCGCCATCCCCAGCCGCAAGAGAGTGCGGGGAGTGGAGTCCGGACATCGCTCGTGGCTCGATTCTCCATCCAGTCCCACCTCGTTCGCTGTCGCCGATGATCGTCTCGCCGGAGTAGACGACGTCTCCGCCGAGCATGACTACCGACCCAGTCGCTATCGAGACCTGCCGCTGAACCTCCCCCTGGATTCCAGCGTTGAGTCGCTCAGCGATGCATCCGGGGCTCGTCGCAAGCGCAGCCGTCGAGATCCGTCATCGGTGGTGGCACCATCCCCGTCGGGACCGGAGGATGAGAAAATCACTCAGGACGACGACTACTATCCTCAAACCGCCCCCGTGCGCTGGAGCCGCGCGGTTTTGGACGTGGTAGGAAAGGTCTGGGACTTTTGCTGGTCGGGAGCCTTCCGCGGGTTCTACGCCGGTGGTGGTCGTGGGTATTCGATGACGGCTGGTGATCCGTCGGTATCGCTGGGCCCTGACGACCACTCGTGGCAGCCAACGACGGAAAAACATGATCTGTCCTCCCCATCTGCCGGGACTCATGGTTGGAGTGAGTCGACTCTTTCGGGCGATCACATCGATGACGACCTGCATCACAACTGGGTTGTGGTGGGCCACGATGAGTTCGGCTATGAGGCAAGTCCATCGGCCCGGAGGCGAGTCCATCGTAGGACGTCCTCGTATGGCCATTTGCGTCGACGACAGCCGGTGAAGCGGACCTTCGTGTCGCAACCAGCGTCGATAACGACCAAGTCGCACTTCTCCGCGCCGGCGAAGCCGCGTGAGACCCCTGTGTCGGTGGAGACGCAGCGTTACATGGCCCAGAAGCGTCGCATGGAGCGCGAGGAAGATGCGAGCCTGGCCCGTTTGAATCGACAGCTGCAGGCCATGATCAAGGAAGGGCAACAGGCGTTGGGAACCAGAGTGGAAGTGGACGACTTCATGGAGGATTAGGATCGGTGTTGCTACTTTAATTTTCTCACCAAGGGATACCCCACACAATCGTTTAATGTTTGATTTTCAAAAGGACCGCATTAGGGCCTTTCTCGTTCCTGATGGCATGTTGGTATGGAACTTTATTCGACGAAGACTCGACCTGTTACGATACGATGCAATGTTTTTATTATAGTGATGTTAGCCATAACCATGAATTACGAAGCATGAAGAATGACAGTCATTGTGTTGACCGCGTCTGAACAAAAGCGTTGATCTTGACCCGACGTATACATGAATGAGATTAATTGTATATATGAGACCCCATTTCCCTAGTTACCGCCCGTCGAGGGACCTCCCGGCGTGTTCGACTCGGTGCCACCAATATGGACACTCTTCTGCAATGTCGTGACCACACTGGTGAGACCCTCCTGACTCGCCAAGTCATTAAGATTGTTAAACTCGAGTCGGGGCTGGATCTGGTTCGGCTGCGTCTATAACCCATCAGCATGTCAACATTCAACCACGTCCCCAAGCGGGCAACCCAGGATCCAGCTAACTCGAACGAAAAGAAAAAAAGGAAACATACAGGAGCCGGCATAGCCATCGAAGCCGCAAGGAAGAGAGAAAGGACGGCAACGGAGACCTTCATTTTGAACGAGTCTGGTGTCAAAGAATCTACCAAACGGCTTGTTAGCGCACCCCATCCAAGAGACGGCGAATATTAGGGAAATGCCATACGTTTTGGTATGCAGAGATCGGAGTCGATATGGGACACAAGAGTTTCAGGGAGCTGGACGATTAGGCCTTTGGGAGGGATTTGGGTGTGCTTTCCGCTCATATACTCCGTGATTGTTGTCTCATCCCTTCATTCCTTGTTTATGTCTCGCGTCGTTTGTTGGTATGCGGGACCGGGAGTATTTTGGGTTGACGGGGAGGCGTCTTTTGGGGCTCTTTTACTGCTGTGAGTTTTTCTTTATCTTGAAATTTATTGTTTGGAGGTTTGTGATTGTTTTAGGATGTGAGTTGAGTGTTGTATATAACTATATATACTGATCATGGAGTTCGACATGTCGACATTTAGTAGGAAAGCTGTAGTGGGCTCATTGGAAATATAGGAAATCCAGGTTCCAGAGCAATCCACTCCAAGGAATGTCGATAATGTGCCACTATCGGCTTGATTGTCTATGGCAGGTTTCGTGCCGCATGAGAACCGCGTGATGTTTATTGAAGGTGGCAGGCATGCTGGACGATCATTGGCCAATCATAGCGCCGTCCGGCAACGTCGGCACAAAGCTTGGCCTGGAGGTCCACAACACTAGTGTCGAGTTTTCACCGTGGATAAGCCAACCCAAATGGTCGAAGGAACAAAAATTTCTGGTTTCTCTGAGCCAGAAATGCAAAAACAGATGACCGACGCAGGGATCGAACCTGCAATCTCTTGATTCGTAGTCAAGCGCCTTGCCATTGGGCCAGCCGGCCAATTGTTGAGATACTGGTTCCTTAAAAGTTATATAATGTATGGCTATCTGATGTGTTAAGCTTGTTCCCAGTATGGTCTATATTCTATAAGCGGGGAATCCCTGTCGGTAATAGAAGCTGGTTGCTTAGAGAATCCTATCTGGGTTGAGTATTTATTACAGGTGAAGTGGCTCTGCTATATCGGAGGTTAAGGCAGACAGGGGCAAATCTCTAGTCTATCTAAAAAAAGCCGTTAACAAGCCGTTCTAAATGTCCTTTTCATGTATTCCTACTGACATATTGACTTCTGATAACGATGTACCGCGCTCTGGTCACTTTCCTGTCTTTATATATATCGACCGTGGCAGGTGGAAGGATCTTGTTCACAACAAATACCAACAAGGTGCTAGTTCTCCGCTCCTATCCATTTTCTGTCCGATTGGACGTCGAGTATACTTGTCGCTGCGCACGGAGCGCTCACTACATGCACGTCTACTTTGCCCCACAGTAGCACTGGTGACTGAGGATCCAATGAACAAAACCTCTTCCCCCGCCTCATCAGAAAGGCCCTTGACTTCCTACGATCCGAATGAATCTGTGCCGGGCAGTGGGCACCTTGGAGCCGTGCGCCAAATCACTGATGTAACCATAAATACATCACACTCATTGCCCAGACCTCCGCCTGTTTCCTACCAAGTATGTTACATAACAGAAGGATACCCTCCGACCCAGTTGAAGCCATAGGAAATGGCCTTGTGGATTGTGATCAACATAGCTGAAAGGGACGATCCCGATCTGATAGTCCAATCGTCAACTCCGGAAAACTTCGCCCAGGCACACTAGTCTAGGCGATCGGGTCTTTCAGACCTGCACTGCTGAGCTGTCTGACGGGCTGCGCTAGTTCAAATTCATAGCCCAATGACCCTGCGCCTTGAAATACGATGCAACGAAAGACAACACACAGCGTCATGACAGTTGTCAAACTGCTCACCAACATCGCTCCTCTCCCCACCACCGTAACTGCACGAGTCGAGCTGAAAAAAAGATCCAATCCAATAGGAAAAGCCACTATGGTGGGCAGATGCAGAGGGAGTGGCGAGCTGAACATAGGACTATTGATCGCCGTCCTGTCTGTCCGGGGTGAACCAGCACAAGAGTATAGCAGTGCGCGGTGTCGACTCGGCCTTTCACGGCCAAAAGAATGTGGAAATGGATATATAAACGCCATCATCTCCCCTCCATGACCAACTCAACACTCCAGTCTCTCGAGCAAATCTATCAACCCATCTCCTCTCACGCTCAAACACACCTCATTTATATTCCCCTACATCTTTTCTCAATATGCCCAACACTCTTGGTAACGGTGAATGGCTTGAAGTTGGCCAGAGCCTATGGAGTCAAAATGGCGAGACGGAGCTGAAAATGCAAGAGGATGGCAAGATCGCGGTTTACGTGAACGGCGAATGTGTATTCCAGAACACAGACGAGCAGAGGTACGATGTCAAGGGTATCCATATGCAGCCCGATGGGAATCTTGTTATGTAGTAAGTTTACCTTTCCCCTTTGTGTTCAACTTTCTCCCGCCTTTTTCAAGACATCGAGTTTTGATTGTAAAGCTCTTCCTGGTTAACTTCTATCTAGCGATAATAACAACACACCCCTCTGGCACACCGATTCCACCGGGTCATCAGACCCCAGCTCAGTTGTCTGTGCTGTGCAGAACGATGGTAACGTCGTTCTGTACACTGGCCAGGCCATCTGGGCCACCAACACCGGAAGGTAGCCTTAGCCTCGACGTTAGACTGTCCAAATTGATGGTCAAAGTGCAAGGGTTTAGATGATATGGCAGCAAGAAGACTTGGTTGAAGAAGAGACAGATTATTGGTTAGGAGGTCTTACACACTCGTTGCTTTGTGTATATAAGAACGCAAATGAACGCTTAAACTGCGTTGAGTCCTTTGAGATTTGTAGGTCGAGTTCTCCAGATCGTTGCTACGTAGTTAAAAAGTGAACACGGCTGAATCTAGTATAAATCTAACATAGTAACATCAATCCTTAGCGCCGGGTCCAATATAATTCCCATCAAGAGACCTTCGAGCACAGGACGTAGGTCAAAGAAAGATCGGCAAAGTGGCTCAATCATGCTCACAGCACCACACGCATTATCGTGACCACCTGCCCGCAGACATCCGGCATAAATTTGCGGTATTTCCATAGAAATAACTTTAATTATATAAATCCATAGATATATGTAAGGCACCTAATCTAGGGCTTAGGCGAATTTTACCAAAAGACCACACTCGCGGACCCTAGAACCTCCTAAGTAGCGCACTGGATAGTCTAAGTTCACCGCGTGCCTTACAAGGTAACTATTCGTTTGTTATTATCCATATATATACTATAAGCTAGGTCTAAATCTATTCTGTACATTCTCTATTTCTGTATATTCTTTGTTTTCCAGCAGTCGCAGATTAACGCTAGATAATAGAAAGAAAGAGGTGGATTTAGGATACTGTATGATACTGGATATACTTCTACATAATCTTTATATGACCGAAATATACAGCAGTATCTACCTTCACTGAGCCTGATAGCTTTATAGACTGTCTCTTCACTTGGCATGGTCACACATCTGTGTGACTTACTTGTCTTGACTATTCCATTCCATTTATTACCCCCCGCTTTTCTCTTTTCACTCCAAATCTGATCTGACTCATTATATATTTTGTCCAATCTATTGACTCTTTTTTCAAGTTAAACGAATCAATACCATCTGTAAACGTCATGTCAGCACTGTTGTCACCAGGTGATGCTTTAGCCCTCGAGAATTTCGAGCCCCTAATGGAAAAGCTAGTTGATCAACATCGCCGCCAGTTCGCGAACGCCCTTTCGCTGTCCATTTCTTGGGAGGATGACAATACCAATCAATGCCTGTACGGATCTTGCCAACTTTCAGGCTATCCTCCGTCTGTTTGACTACCCAAAGGCGGAAGAATACGTGATACCAGTCGACGCAGATGCGTCTGGGTGGGACGTTGCTGATAGGATTCGGGGCCTTATCCGCCAGGCCATGATAATGACTGGGCGAACTATCATTTTGATTCACTATGGTGGCCATGGATTGAACTGGAATGATGAATTACACGTCTGTAATTCCACAGGAAGAAAGCTTTTCAGTGTGAATAGAAACATGTTGGATCTTGTGGACTCCAAGTCCGTTGTTACCGATTCCCACAACATTGATCTCGTATTTATCTTCGACTCCTGCTATAGCTATCTGGTGACTAGGGAGTATACTGGTCATGACAGAGTCGTCGAGATACTTGCAGCCGTTGATGAGGATAGCAGACTCGCATTTTCCCCAGGCCTTCGGGCCGCGTTTACAGGCAAACTGTATACAGAGATCCTCAGAAGAGAGCAATCAGGAGCCCAAGATATTGAGCTCGCTGAGCTGATAGCGTATCTTCACAGAAAATCTCCTGTAAAGAAGCCCGCACATCGCCTTCTCGTCGGCGCCAATTCTTTACGTCTTTCCATCAGTGGAGATACTGAACGGAGTCGAGTATACGATTTATCCGAAGGGGGGCCCCAGTATATGCACCCCCCGGGCCAGCGACGTACGCCATGTTTTCATTCAGGTTGGTAAAAAGTCTCTTTATCGATCAAATAGCAGACTTCTGTGACTGGATCTTGAAGCTGCCCAGAGAGATTGGGCTAAAATTAGAAGCCGCCTACGAGACACAGTCCATGACTTTGATCTTCCGGGCACCATACGCCTTTTGGTTGAAGCTCAATGGGTACAAATTTGTTCAACTTATATGCGAGGCCAAATCGGAGAATCTTCTTCTGAGCATCCCCACCTCATCGAGTCCCTGGTCCAACAAGGAGAATAATCATCCAACCCCAAAGCATACGGGGTCTTAGAATCAGTGATGAACGGGATGTCTTAGTTAGGGCATTATTAATATTCGATCTTGAAATCACAGCCTACGCTTACCACGCATAAACGCCCAACCGCCCGAAGATGGCCATTAGCGCTACCTGGAAATTCTTTGATTCATTCTACTGGAGAGGAAATAGCTCAAGAATTGACCAATACTAGACTGGCAAAACACCAATATCAGCCACGATAGCCAATAGACCTCGAATATTGCCCACATGGCTTCCGATAATTTAGCGTATACAAAACGTCCTTCAGTTCCTGGCGCATTTTTTTTTTGTGCACGCCACCACACGATTCTGACCCAAAATCTAATTCTAGACCAATTTAAGTATTCCAAGCAGTTTAAGCAGTATAAATTATCCGAACTGCCTGAACTGCTGGAACTGCTGGAACTGCTGGAACTGTTTGACTGATCTGCCCAATCTGTCTGATCTACCTGAAATACTTCAAATACTTTAACCAATCTATATACTTTATTAACTTGAACTGAATTGTCTGATCTGCCAGACCTGCCTAAAATGCCTGAACTGATCTAGATACTTCAAGTACTTAAAACCGACCTAGATACTTGAAATACGTAAACTATTTAATTATTAGAACTGCTTAAATCACACAATCCATCTACTGCGCAACATGTCTTTCCAGCCCAACAGAAGAGGGATTGGAAGTCCCTCGTATTCTGTGAATTGTACTAATATTCACCGCTTTTGTTGTTATCGTAGCCAATACTAGCTTATAAACCAGGATCCATATCAGATAGCAAACTCGCATTTTCCCCGGGCCTTTTTTTTACAGGCAAGCTACATGCAGAGATCCTCAGAAGAAATCAGTTCGGAGCCAAGGATGTTGAGCTTGCTGGGCTGATAGTATATCTTCGCAAAGAATCTCCTGTGAAGAAGAAGCCTGCGCATCATCTTCTTGTTGGGGTCAATTCTTTACGTCTTTCCATCTCAGGAAATACTGGAGGGAGCCGAGTATGTCAGCCCCGACATCACGTCCACCACGTATCAAACATCTAACTGAGGTCTCTAGTACTACTACTACTACTACTACTACTACTACTACTACTACTACTACTACTACTACTACCAAAGTCTTTGATCAATCCTACCGGGGAGGAAAGAGCTTAAGAATCGACTAATAGTCAAACCGACAAAATACCAATATCAACCACGTTGGCCAACAGACCCTCGACCATTGCCCACATGGCTTCGAATAATGGGTAGCCCTACTCGCAGGGCAGTAACCAGGGGAAAGGTTACCATGAAACCCCATGATGTCCTGCAAAGGCTCCGACCCATGAGATGACGCCGACTGCATCAATCGTGCGACACATGCACTGGATGCGAAGATATACTCTTAGCGGGAGAAGTAGCCCAATATTGTGCATGGGATATCCCATTTTAACAAGGGTACAAAGGACAGCTGTACATGTCTCGCGGAATGCATAAAAGACTTGAGATATCACACACATGCAAACAAGGAGGGGAGATGATGATAGGGTGTATGCAAGCAGTCCTTGTTTTGAAAGGCGAATAATATGATATTCATTAAGTCTGCACGTTGCTCCACAGTAAAACTCATCCATCCCTTTAATGGGGTCGCTATCCAGCCACTGCCGAATATGGAACCCAGCCACCGACGTAATGATTTACTACTATTTCATACATGCTACATGTCAGAACCGGTTCGCCAAGCATGTCATCCGAGCTTAACTTAGCGGGAAGTATAAGCTTACTTCCACTCTGTACCGGAGGAGACTCAATGATCGGGTATTGTATTGGCGGGCTAGTGTTAGATTGTCCGAGTTCTCAAGTGAGCAGTTTATGTTACAGGTATGTGATGGTCAGATTGGGAAGGGTACCCACATTCCAGAGACATCTGTGTACTATTGGGATCTGCATGTTTTATTGGATCCACCAAGCATACAAGAGTACCTATAATAGTAGTATATGGATAAGGTAATATTGTTTCATGCAGTTTGTTAGAGACTTGCCATGTAATGATATTGCGATAGTATGTACTGTGAAGTCTCAGGAGGAAGCCAGAAAAAAAAAAAAAATCAAATCGCTTCAGTCGCTCAGATGTTGTATCAATGTATGAAAAAGCAACCCATAACAAATAAAGTAACATCGCTAAACACAACCTCGGTCTAATCCCGAAAGCAAACGCTCTATATCATGTCACATCAAAATGAACGCCAATTATATGCAATAAAAGCTCATAGTAATAACCAAAGAAGTCAAAGTCACATGCGGCAAAGAAAAGAAGTTAGGTCATCTTTGGCATGAATTTGGGGTTGGTCCGGATGCTTTCCCCATATTTCAGTAAGAAGAACGATGTTGGTGCAAAGGCAAGCGCAATAAAACCAAGGAGGGTGTTTCCCCAGCCTAGGCCCAGTGTTTCGTACAAGGGCGTACCGGCTAAAGGGATAGTGGCGCCAAAAACGCATCGCAAGGCTAGCTCAGCGGAGACAGCACTGGCGGCGTAGAGGGTATATGAATCAACAAGATACACCTGAGTAACGAGGTGTACATAGAAGATCCCTGTACCAATGAAGAAAGTCCCAATAATGGGGACAATCCAATGAACCCTATACTGTGCGGACCAGCCGTACCAGAACAGGCCAATCGGGACTAGAAAACATCCAAGAACAAGAGGTGGAAGGCGGTGCTCTGGTTTCATCTGGCCATGGATCTTTTCTTGCTTTTTGACATGTCGATCAGAGTAGTAGCCCACTGTGATCTGTCCGACGCAAAAGCCCATCCCAAGGCCCAGATATCCAAGGCCCGCCTGACCTGGGCTGAAACCGTAGACATTCTCGAAGACATCGGTGAAGGTAGTGAAAAGAATGTACATATAGCTGTAAGTTACGGCGCTGTAAAGAGATACGATCAAGACGATAGGCGACAGAAAGAGGAATTTGATTGGTCGCGTCAAGGATGTCAAAAGCATCTGGCCAGCTGTGCGTTCAGAGTCAAACTTGGTGTAATAGTGCTGCCCAGTAGCCTTATGAAGACTGATTGCTTTGCGCCGTAGTATTGTTGGCGCATACGTCTCACGGAGGAATATCAGCGATGCAATAACAACGAGGCCTCCCTACACAGTATTAGTTTTGCTTTATTTGAGCGCGAGTATAGGAACAGTAACTTACCAGTATTGCTTCAAGCCACACAGTCCATCGCCATCCCACATTCTCCACCATGTAGCCTCCGAATATAGGACCGATTACAAAGCCCTATAGTCAGGGTTAGCAACATTAGACAAAGTACAGACCAATGATTAGTTATACGTACAAGCAAGGGTCCCACCGTCCATATTGTCATTGCAGTTCCCCGTTTTTCCATAGGAATCATGTCAGCAACAAACCCTCCTCCAACTGTTACCGGTACTGAGCTGGCAATTCCCATGATCAGCCGAGAAACAATGAGCATGGAGATGTTGACGCTGGATGCGCAGATTATTGCCGCGATCATGAAGAGGATATTCGCTCCGTGTGTCACTGGTAATCTTCCACTCATTTCCGTAATCGGTGTAAGTACGAGAGGCCCCACTGCTGATCCCATCACGTAGATAGAGACCATGAGAGATGCAAGAGAAGAGTTGTCAATATGGAACTCCTTCAGAACTTCCGGGACACCGGGAGCAAAAATGGTGGAGACCAGAGACCTAACAGTTGTTAGCATACCCACCACAGGGCTTTAAAAATTCAGAAGGAGCCAGACATACGTATTGAAACTGCTCAGTGATATCAGGCCAATAATGAGCCATTTCCGAGCATCGGACCAGTTCATGGGATTCCGAGGGTCGTCGGGGCCATTCCAGTGGACAAGACTGTCAAGCTCATCTTGGGACTGTTCACCGGCCTCAACGTCGCGGCACTCAACCCTCACACGAGCGTTTTCTTTTTCGACAAAGGACCCCAGACACTCCAGGCTAGATTCAGGGCTGGGTTCGACCGAGCTGTCAGGACCACCGGAAGACTGCGTCGACATGACGATCACGAAGGGAATAGGAATAGTAAGATCCTTGGGGATGAAATGAATAGAATCGACATTAACAAGCGGGCCATCATGGCCTTCTAAATATCTTAAGTGGACACAAGCAAATGTAATATTGGAGTCATTTCATCGGAGATGACCACCATGATGCTACCCTGATTTTGGACTGAACGCGCGTCCATACAGTCGGACAATTCTTGGTATGCCGGACCCTTGCTGTCTAGCCGGCCAGGGCTCCAGTGCTCTGTACAGCTTGAAACGCCTGGACCATGATACATGGTGGGTACGTACATACAATTAAAAATATCAGGCGCACAGCACGGGTAGGGAACAAGCAAAAAGGGTGGCGTTTCCACAGGAATCCCTTGCATGGATCGACTTTATTCCAGCTCTGCCTCAGACAATGCCAATTAGCTGGGCTTATCAACACATGATCCACATAGGTTATGCTTAGGACACCTAATGATCCCCACATGATGTATTGCGGCGTCTGGGTACGCAGGTATCCCTTTCGAGATCTCCCACAGTTACTTAGCTGCCCAGGCATGTGGCTCTATAGTGTTACCCACCTGGAACTTGCTCACTATGAATGTTGACGTGTCTTGAGTGGAGGATGAAGGGTCGAAACCAGCCATGGCAGGAGCTTGGTGTAACTAGAGTATGATAACGGTAGGGAGAATGAGCCCTATTTGGAATTGGGATCCGTGTCCGGGGGACCTACCCGATGGATCAGTCTGTAGATCAGAAAAATTTTCGGGACCCCTTGAGGTGTTCATGGTAGGAGTCACCGCTATAGAGTTGGGGGGTGACCCATCATGTGGAGATAGGAGACGGGGCTAGAAGGGTCTGTCTGTTATGTGTTCTATGTAAGAAGCGACACAGAATTGATTCTAAATTCGAATCATGCGGAGAATTCACAAAAATTTCCATGTCCAGGACCTATGGCGTGATGGGACATGGTTGCTATGATGTGATATTGAGACGAAGATAACATGAAGTATGCAGATCCGTGTTCCAAGAAATGCCTGACGACGTTGACTAAAGCGGCAATGATCCGCCGGTACCTTGCCTTCCCGCGGGAGATCCTCAGGCGCCCCTCCCTCAATGCCCTACCCGGTGTCAATCCCAGCCGCGTCGTGACTTTCTTTCTCTTCTTTATCCATTCTTCATCCTTTCATTGATGGAATCGCTGGCTTTCCTCCGACAAGCATTGCGCCATCGAATCATACTACATCTCAAATGGCCTATCCTAGATTCTAGATTTGACACATGACGAGGATCTTCAGAACTATTACTAACACTTGAGCCAATAAATGAGTTGGATCTGCAGGAGAAGCTACCTCAAAATCAAGGCCATCCGAGAAGCTTAACCAACCGTTAAGCTTTGGTGGATAACCGAATCTTCGAGCCCGCTTGGCCGTTCCTTGGGACTCCGTGTGAGCTCTTAAAAGTTGACCTTCGAAGTCTGGTTCCTGGAGATGTACCCATAATGGAAATCCGCCACAGCCGATCTATCGGGCCTAGGGAGCTTGTCCCTCGGGCTACAATTAGAAACAAACCTCCACATGTTGAAACTGACCGCTGAGTACGGCCAACGCGCGTTCGGCATTGCGCACATGTTGCGAATTTTCGGTAAACTGGAAGGATGTCCGAACAATTTCGACAGCTCATCGGGAATTTTTTACCCAGAATAGAGAACGGCCCATAAAATATACCAGAGTATTCGTGGGCTTTTGCCTATTCGCGTTTGTTAACTCATATTAGCACTCCACTCACCTAGCCACCTGAATCCTAATCTAGGTGCGAGAGAAATCATCTTCACAACATCCAAGAACTTTTCTCGTCGCATTTCCGATGTCGGCACAATATCTCCGCATGCGCTGGCGCACATAGGAGCAGATATACACAACCAGCATGAACTAGACAGACCCTACTAACCTCCTATTGGTTTCAGCATTGGCTTTTCGCGCTCTGACAATTGCCAAACAAAATTCCCTCATCCCATGATCAGCGTGGCGGTGTACTGTTTCTCTACCTCTCATTGAGTTCAGCGGGCATTGATGAAGCATACTTTTGATGCAGGCTACCTTATTCTTGCTACGCTTCGCGAGAGCCTGAATGTTAAGCATGTGAGATTAAGTTAATAGTTGAGTTTCCCTTGTTTCCGCCAAAACCGCTGACTCAAAAATCCCCCTCTACTCGGATTTCCTCAGCAGTAGCGTTTTGAAAGAACCATTGGTATTTCTTGGCTTGATGTTGACCAAGAGAGCGGCGCTTCCTTCCACAAACCCGCCAGTATCCTTTTCGCATCCTATGAATAATAACTGTTTATCAGTGCCATCATTTTTCCTCTCCTGCATAATATTCTCTGATCTGCTTGCAAACATCCCAGATCCTCTTCCGGTTGACAAGCCCGGGAATATATGTCCATGTCCCTTCCTTATACTGAGACTTTTGAAAAGATCCAGGAGCGTCAGGGAGAGTCGAGACACCGACTCCCTAGAGTGAAACGTGCCAGTATCCTGGAGCTCTCAGAGCCAAGGCATATCAGCTTGCAGTACTTTCTTCCAAAGATTGCCTGAAAGAACGGTGGCATTCATCAATGGCAATGCAGCTTTAGTGGCAAGTATGGACGCAACGGAAATACGCTTGAATATCTCTAGTCGGGTTTCGGGCGGGACCTTTTAAGATTAGACTGGGCTTGCCATAGTCCAGTTTTAACCTGGTGCATTGCTCACACTCCAGCTCCTCAAGCACGCCGCATAACCTGGCTCGGTCGAAGGTTGTATTACTGTTTTAAGTAATGCACCTCCTGAGTATCTCCTGGTAGCAGATCCGATGGACAGGCCACGCAACTGGTTAATCTCAAGAGCTGCAATCGTAGTACCTACGAACAATGAGCACTGACAACGACAGGAACCAGAAACATACACAGGAGTGTGGCCCCCGTAGGAGCATCTGAGTTGGGGGAGTCGGGAGGGAGTGTATATCATCTATTCGCAATCAGACACGTCGATCCCCCAAACACACAACCCGAGACATTACCAGGTAGCTATCCTCTCCCGGGGAAACATGTACACATATCTAAGGTATCATCATCAGTTATATTATAGCTATTGGAAATCTGAGCTTGCGCCCTGAACTCTAATTGGCCGACAAAAAAGGGGCAAGGCTGTAGAGATATAGAAGCTATCTTGCTCGAATATAAGATTCCCAGAATCTCATTACATGCCTATATTGAATTTTGTCTCGTCTGCAACCTTCTCGGATATCAAGTCGTTTCATAATAAACATGCAGCAACGCATGCGCTTCGATGATGTTGCTTGGGCGCAAAGTGAAACTATCTCAGATGCCTTGGTGGAAGAGCTATTAGAAGAAGATACTCTGAGGGCGATCGGCAATTTTATCGTCAAGCATCGAAAGGGAGTCCCACTTGAATTATGCCAACCTCGAGCAGGGGCATTCAATGTATCCTTTCGGATGAAGTTTGAGGATGGTGGCTCAGCACTGATCCGCTTCCCCAAACCCGAAGCCACCATGTTTCCTGAGGAAAAGATGAAAAGAGAAGTGACTATGATCAGGTATATTCAGGAGTATACGTCGATCCCGTACCATTCATCTTACATTGGGGAACAAAGAATGATAGTCCTCTCAATCTGGGCTCGTTTATCCTGATGGAATACATCGACCACGATACGGATCTGGGTGCAGCACTGAACACGCCAACACTCAATCTCGAAGATCGTCCTATTCTCGATCCATCTATCGACATCGAAAAGCTGGAAATGCTCTACGGACAGCTGGCAGACATTCTACTCCAGCTGTCACAGTTATCACTGCCACGGATCGGCTCTCTTGGCTCAGATCGATGACTTCACATGGGAAGTCAGAGACCGGCCGCTATCAATCGGGATGAATGAGCCTGCGCGTCTAGGAACGCTGCCACGATCGAAATTGCCAACCACCACATTTGAGACAACGTCGTCCTATTTTCAACACCCTCGCTGGATTGCATATTGACCATTTGTCCCATCAACGAAATGACGTAGTAGACTCCGCAGAAGATTGTCGGCGGATACTTGTCGCCAGACAGCTTTTCTCCAAGCTTGCCAGAGAGGGTCGACTGACCCATTCTACAAATGACCATGGACCCTTCAAGATATGGTGTGACGATCTTCGGCCCTCGAATGTATTGGTCAACAAAAACCTTCAGATCGTCAGTCATTGACTAGGAATTCACATACGCAGCACCGGTTGAGTTTTCTCACGCACCTCCATGGTGGTTGCTTCTCGAACAGCCCGAGTACTGGCCAGATGGGATAGAGGCTTGGACAAAGGCATTTGAAACTCGTCTACAAACATTCCTTAAAGTTCAGACCGAACGCGAGGAAACAGCTATGCAACGGGGCAGGTTAAGACTGGAACAGAGACTCTCTGGTCCCATGAGACAGAGCTGGGTAAATGGCGACTGTTGGGTAACTTGACCATCGATTTTTTTGGTTCTTGCGTAATCGCCGATGAAAGTCGATTCGAGAACAGGATTGATTTGTTGAGAGTGAGGAAGAGCGTCAGTATATAGAACAAGTTGTGAGCCAAAAGCTCGAGCAGATAAAAACTAGGGCTCTAGCATGGGGACCAGAGGAAGTGGATACGGCCGAAGCCCGCCATTCCGTTGTTTAATTAGATCTCAGTTCAAACAATGCAAAGTATTAGCAGGTTCGCATCTTTCTCGTCAGTCTTCTGGATTGAACCATGAAGAGAATATACAGTTGACTGTTCAAGCACCAAAGTACAACTATTCGTAAGCAGCAGGCTTTACAATACACGGCTTGGACAAAAACACGCTATGGTAGGGTACGGTGGGACATTCTTTTGACGATATCAGATCTGTATATGCGATTATGTGTCTAGAAGTTCTTAATCTCTGGGGCGTATTGTATTACTACTCTTTTATCTGCAGGGTGTTATGTCTTACATCCTAAACCTGATTTTCTAACAAACTGAGTATCACAAATCAATCAAATCTATAAACATATAATCCATTAATTATCATACTGCAAGCCAGACTCCTTTCGAATCGCCCCATAAACACCCGCAACATCACCCTTCACGCCCTTCTCCTTCTTCACCTCCTGCAAATACGCATCAGTAACCTCCACGCTCCTCAATCTCATCCCCGCATCCTGCGCAATGCTAGTCGCATGACCCAGATCCTTCCTAGCCAAGTCGACCGCAAACAAAGGCTCGTCACGTTTGTGGTAATCGCCTTCGACCATGCGATCCGCATACTTCGCGAACGGCCCACCCAGCCACGTGTGGATCCATTTCTGGTACATGTCGGCACCGAGACCGGATTTCTCTGCCAGCACGAGCCCCTCCGCGACGGTCTCAACGGTGTTGAGGATGAAAGTGTTTCCTAGGATCTTGAGCTGGGAGGCACGGCCGACGTCGTCGCCGGGCAAGGGGAGGGTAGCCTTTGCCGTGACGCCCTCGAAGAACGGCTGCAGTCTGTCGATTGCTTCTTGCTTTCCAGCCGGGACAACAATCATCTGGCCTGCGTCGGCCATGTTGGGGGCGCCGAAGACGGGGCAGGCGACGAAGGTGGCGCCGCGCTCGAGGAGGGTGGCGTGGATGCGGCGGGAGGTGTTGGGGTGGACGGTGGAGCAGTCGACAATGAGTTTGGAGGTGAGATCCAAGGAGGAGTCGGAGACGATGGTGTTGATGATCTGGTCGAGGGCTTGGTCATCGCCGACACAGATGAAGGTGATTGTAGCCTGTTGCACGGCTTCGGGGATGGTGGTGGCGACGGTGGCTTTGTTGGACCCAATTGACTCGGCAAAAGCGGTGGCTCTGGATGTTGTGCGGTTGTAGAGGATTATGGGCGTGGTCTGGGGGCCTTTCAGGGCGATGTTGCGGCTCATACCCTGTGGGATGTTAGTATCTCTTGGATAAATATTGATCTTAATTGATACGATGTATATATCTACATGGGGAAGTAGTTACTTACCCGGCCGATGTTGCCCAGGCCGAGCCATGCTACTCTTTCTGAAGCCATTGTGTCAATGTGAGATCTGTTTTGCTGGATTGAATTTGGATAGGAGAATTATAGAGCATCAATGGAAGGGCTGTGGGGAATTTATAGAATGAGGGGATCTATGAGGAGACTGCGTCATGCGGGGCATTTCGGGGGTTCGGCGTCACGTTTCCTTCCTAAAATCTTAGCCGGCGTGGGGACTCGGAGCTAATTCTACACTCGCAGTCTGGACCTTTGGAAGTCTTGCCTGTCGCAATGGAGTTGACTGGTTACAGAAGTGCGATATGCCTGTGGTCGAGGGCGCAATGGAAGAGGACATGCATAATAGATTACCAATCCTCTGCCTTGAACGAACGGACCAATTCCGCTGTCCAATTGACGCCGAGCAAATAAATAACATCTCCACCGATAGAGACAACAAGAATGAGTCAATTCATACACACTTGCGTTCTTTCCTTCACCGGCGCATTTTCGTGTTGCACGGCTCTGTAAGCAACGAAATAATCTTCTCACATGCGATGACTCGTCCATCTTTTGGCCCCAATTCAGCTGCAATAGTTTTCGCCCGGTGTCGCATCGACTCGCTCGCGGCACCTGCCAGCACCCGAATCAGAGCCTGCCCCAATTCCGGTCCATTGACGACTGGCGCAGTCTTGCGACTTGCCCAAATCCCAATGCCTAGCCATTCTGCACGCATGGCGAAATCGTAGGTGTCGAGCCAGACGGGAAGGATGACCTGTGGCACGCCAGCCCTAAAACAAAAAAGCTGTCAGAAACTGGAAATACCCTCATTCAGCTGAAGAGTTTACAGCTGGATATACTGACCGTATCGCTTCATGATAAGAATTGGACCCCCCATGGTGAACCATGCATTCTACATGGCCACTCGTGAGAATGCAAATAGGCTCTGCTGCCAACCACGGCTCAACGCGAACTTGTCCCTCTGCGACGGCCGTACGAAGATTGTCGGGCATGATGTCCTCGAGAGTTGTACCGGAGCTTGACTTGATTTTCCATAGGATTTGGACATCCGGCCTCTTATCCAGGAGCATGCGGAATCCCGCCATGAGCTCTTTCAAAACATCAATCGTATACGTGACATGTGACCCCAGGTTCACCAGTACTGTTGGCCGTCGTCCGAGCCAAGAAGCCAGCTCTGGATCCTCTTCGGCAACCGGAGCATAAGGGCACAGTATGGGACCACACAGTGTGAAGCTGTCGGGAAAGTAGCAAGGAATTTCAGTCTCTTGTCTGGCCGGGAGGAGAACTACAGTCTTGTCCTTGCTCAGCTGTTCCGGGATGTGTGCAGAGGTTACACTCGACAGCCCGTGCGCATCACGATATTCCGCGAGCTCTCGGGCTCTTGGATTGCCCAAAAGGGTTAATAGCAGCCGAATGGCAAGATATGCGTTTGGAAGAATCAGGTACCAAGGTAAGGGATAAGGGAAACCAGAAGACATCCTGAATGATTAGTCAAGATACACAGAGCAAGGGGGCCGAGTGTAGATAGACTATGTTTCTCACATTGGAAGCTTCCACAGGTTCTCCAACCTCGGCTGTCTCGTCAGTTCCTTAAATGTGTTTGGAGACAAGGCCACATAGCGCTGTTCTAGCATGCGACACGCATCAACTGCCTGTAAGAAGAGTGGATCAAGTACAACAATGGCTGGCTGGAGCGTGCGCATGAGGCTACAGCAGTCTTGGTATATGGCCATATACTGCGGGCCATCCCACGGGGTTGCCACTGCAGGCAGGACGTGCTTGTATGTGTCCAGGGCTGCTCGGAATCCGACATTATGAACGTGAAATGAATCGGTACGTATATCGAACCAAGCATTGGCCTCTATCATGGGAGGGCCAGTGATTGGATGGAAAGTGGCACGATTTGTCACTGATGACAGGTATGTGGCACGAGCATTGAGCTTGGAGACAGCGGGCTCTAAAGGAGCAAACGAGCCAATATGGACATCATAAGAGCGAATGAGAAACTCATGGGCCACGGCTAAACTGACGGTTGCCTGGCCCAGCTCACTAAATGTCAGAAAGAGAATGGCTGATGGTGCCATAACGCTAGTGTGTGATGGAGTAAAGAAGATCAGCAATGAAGGACTAGCCAAAAGATGAAGACAAAAGATGAAGAGAAGTGAAGTGCCCAAGGTCGGTCGGGGACTAGCAGTGAGAGGAATTGAAGGAGCAATACGAGAAGAAGCCTATCCGTTGGACATGATTTCCTTCTACGAATACAATGCGAGAATTTCTTTTCAAACAGATACTTAGGAGTATAAGAACCGACATAATCTGCAGAGTATGTATGAATAGTCAGCAGACCTCTTTTTGTGTAATTATTCCAATGCAATTCCTAGTGCAATCCGCCATGGTTCAGTGAATATTGCTCTGAATCAAATGAATTTATTAATATTAGAGGTATTTCTATTAGCTAAATGAACATGGATGTGTGGCACCAGTGGAGAATCAGGCCAAGGTATATGCATACATGCCCCTGTCCGCTGTTCTCCATCTATTGCATGTAGATATAGTATGACTTAAGACACGAAGGGCCTGCCCCCTCCTTTTCACCGCTTGTAATCAGTAACTGTGCATACGTTCCACAAGGAGGATGTAGTTTCACTTCCTGCATGATAACTTTCACCCCGGGAGCAGAAGCGGTACTATCCGTCTGTGTCGAGTAACGAAGCGCTTGTCTTGGGTGTATAGAGCTCGCCGTTCCATTGGCCATAGACCCTGAAGCTTGGCAACCAATATCTTTCGTGGATTAACCAAGGAAGCAGATCGTAAGCGATTGCTGGTGTGGCACCTGGTATAATCAGGCGATCGACCAGGCCAATTGTGAGGCATCAGAAGCCCCCGAGAAAAGACTAACTAATGCAGCTGTCCCATCTAGTCCTTTCGTCCGCGACCACTAATGGCCGAATTGCGGGTATTGACACGGTCAATGTCGTAGGGGTTTTCCTCGTACTGTGTTGCAGTGCGGCCCAAAGAGTGTCCGGATTTCCTAGACGCCCGAGAACCTCGTCGATCAAGTGCAACCTGGGATGGAATGGTGGAGAGGCTGTCGGAATCATCGCTGTCACTGGTTATATAGATAGAATCAGCTTTCTCAGCCACAGTCGCTTTCTCTTGAGTTGGCTCTTGACGCGGGGGCTCGTTCTGCTTGGCTGCGAGGCGCTGCATGAATGCCTCGGCCTCAGCAGCGTAAACACAGCGTTTGCGAATCCGGGCCCCGTAAATATAGAACAAAATAGGGAATGGTATACACGCGACGGCCAAGAAAGCGGGAATGGAAGAGGCCCAGTGAATGCCTAGGTTGCGATACATATAGGTGGTGAATAGAGGAAAGGCGAAGCCGAATAGAGAACGAAGAGCCGAGTTAGCTGCAAGGACTGATGCTGAATAGATCGTATAGGCATCGATCAGATAGTTGAAGACACTGAGGAAAACCAAGACTAATCCAAACCCAAACGGTACGCCCGCAGCCACGGGGGCCATCCAGTGGATAGTTGGATAGTTCGTCCACGCGAACCAGAAAAGGCCGATGGGCAGGGCAATTCCTCCAACAATGCTTGGGGGAAGACGAACCTCGGGTGCAAGACGACCCGTGGTTTGCTCGCACAGCTTAGCATACCGGAAATTGTCGGGAAAGGTGCAAGCGACTGCGATGATCATCCCTACTAGAATGCCCATGAAAGCCAAGCCTCCAATACCCTCACTCCAGCCACGGACTTCCTGGAACACGATCGGATAGGCCGCAAACAACATGTACAGCGTTCCATATATGATAGCCATATAGATACAGAACAGAAGCACAATCGGCTCCTTAAAGAGCAGAAGCCATGGGCGGGAGAGGGCCGTAGTCAATGTTTTGGTCAACGTCGCTCTACCTCGTTCGATATCCAGCTTACTGCGGTAGACCTGACCACTTAGTTCGGAAAGTTTCTCAGCTCGGCGACGCAGCAGAACTGGAGCATAGGTCTCTGGCAGTAAGAAGCACATGGACAGCCATACAACACCTGCTAACGCGGCTAGAAAGCCTTCCACCCAGCGCCAGCCCGCGGCAGAGCCAAGGAATCCTCCAATTACCGGACCAAATGTAGGACCGCAAAGCGGTGCTGCAGCGAAGAGACTGATCGCAATGCCACGCTTTGACGCCGGGAACATATCTGCAATCGTACCTCCTGCATTTCCGAAAGGTGATGATCCGAAAAATCCTGCGAGAAAACGTAGAATAATAAGGGTTTGAATGTTCTGAGCTCCAGCAGCCCCCGCATTGAAAGCAGTGAGGAGAAAGAATGTGCTCGTGAAAATATGTCGACGACCAAAGGTCTCACTCATTGGTGCCCAGATCAATGGTCCAAAGGCAAATCCCAAGACAAAGAGGGAGATCCCGAGGATAGCAACTTCCTGTTCACAGTCAAAATCCTTGACAATCTGGCCCATGCCGCCCGAGTATGCAGAGGAAACCAATGCAACAGTCAGGGTGACAAAGGAGACTAAGATAGTATAGGACCATTTCCGGACCTCGCTGAAGTCCATCGGGTTACGCGGGTCGTTGGGGATCCAGCTGACAACATAAGGGTCATCTTCGGTTCCTGATCCAGCATAAGGATAATTAACCACTTCAGGTGTAACAACCTTTTGGTCGAGGATTAAATGCCAGTAGGGTATCTTGGAGGATAAAGACACCTCGCCGCCCCCGGCTAGACCAGCCATGCCCGTTGTGGTACTATATATCCTGATCAGTTAGTTATTGATGCTTAATGCCCATTCCAGCCTCAGTTTGTCCCTCCAAAGACAGGCATGTGCCATGGGATCGACAGAGCGATGGACCCACCTTATGTTTATTTTATACTGCGTAGAGGAACGTTTGCGAAACAGTGTCACGCTATCAGCTGTGTTATGCTTCGTATGGCCCTAAAACTTGAATAGAGAAGTGTAGATCATAGGAATCCGATGTCATGGGGCACCCCTATGGTTAGAAGAATAAGATTAGTGCCATATGGCTAATACGAGAATATAAGGACACAACATGGAGACAAAGAAAAAAAAAAAAATGAAACGTACTCAGGGAAAAAAATCTTGAATTTCATAGGACAGCAACCGAGATATGCCTCGGTTATACCTATAGAAATATACTAGTAGTAGTAACCTGCGTTGCATAAAACCACGTACTAATTTCACAACGTGTCATTGCATTCGGTTAACGCCACAAAATGTTCCTTTTTCAATATCCTTTCGAGTTTTAGATGCAGATCCCTAAAACCTTGAATAGGATGGCATATATACCCTTTCAAACATGTCTCCAGCCCTTCAAAATTCGAGGGTAGAACCACAAATAAACCGCCGCCACAGTCAAACAAGACTTCGGCCCGACTGTTCCTGGCACTACTGGCGACAAGCTCGCTTGGCCAAGTGGAGCACCAGCTGGAGATTTGAAAAACGACAGCATTGATTGACCTACGGAGTATATACTTCAAATTCATAATACTACGCATAAAGACACGTAGTATGGATTTTCGCATATCTTGAGCACTATCCAGATAACCCCCACGTTTTATCACGACAACGATGAATGGACGAGTCGGCAAAGTCGGCATTCCGTGCCGACAAAGTGGATCCACGTAGTGGAGAAACTAAGCGAGACAACACCAACGCCTCCGGAAGAAGATGCCGAACTACTACCACCAGGCAACAGTGCCGATGTTGCATGTTTAATGTAGCATTTGATATATTGCTTTGTGTCACTGAGTGTAATTGCCTCAGCTTTGTTAATTTCTTGTCCCATAGGTGTTTTTATGATATTGTCTCAGAAGCTATCATTCATGAGCGTCATCGGAACTGGTTGTCAGGCAACTGTTTATAAAGTAATCACCTGAGTATGTACTAAGGTGTACTAATGCTCAGGAGAGAATGTACACTGTATAGATCGCTCTTGAGAATTGGCAAAGGCTTGGATCAAGAGCTTAAAAAGACTCGGTGAGTTGATCGAGGTCCTTGCGAAGGGCTACAATATTGTGCAAACGTGTATGCACATACATTGATTGAGAATACACACGGGGTAGGAGGCATCAAGATACGCCAGAAGTTCAAGAGTTATGGTAAAGAAACCCTTTCAACAAGACGTACCCAAAGACAGATAATTGAACATTGTAAAGCATTGAAGCTGTAATCCGACAGAAGGCCTAGAATGGTGTACAATCTATCCACGGCTCTGTGTGAAGCTCACAACTTTGGGGAAACTGTGCTCCAACGACTTCTCCAGTGTCATAAAGAGACGAGTAGTCCGGACATGCAATTCTAGTATTAGAAAAGATTAAAAATGAAGGATATATTAGCGGTCTTGATGCACGGAAGACGTACCTTCTATAGTCAATTCATAGCTAGCAGATTGATCCTCTTCACGATAAGAAAGGACTGGACCACCCCAGTCCCTGTCCAAATATTCGTCCATTAGATCCTTCTCCTTGACTCGTACCTTAAGTCCAACGTTCTTGCTTTGACCCACCCAAACCATCTGATAGGGAGCCTCGCTGGTCGATGAATAGGCAGTATTATCGGATGCTTCCGACCCTGGAGAGGACCCCAAAGATTGACCGGAATGTTTCGCATGGTTCCTTAGCCAGTCTCTGAATAACCTGATAACACCGTTTTCAACAGTCACTGCACCCAGGGGGAAATTACTCCCCCACATCACTTCCACTACATTCACGGCTATACATACTTGGATGAAGTTTTCAAACGCCTCCAGATGAATAGGTAGTGTCACGACTGAACTGTCCGCTTGCTCCTGGTTGACTGTCGGCACGATCAGCATTGACCCGCACAACCCGTTTCCCTGTAGATGCCCTACCCGCTGATGGAAACCGCCTTCCTCCGCCGATTCTCCCCATTCCTACCACACAAGGCCGAAATCTAGAATAGAGGGAACCGAGTCTTCCTAGCTGCTGTGGTGTATCAACATTCTCGTATAATGAGCCCTCCCCTTCGTACTGGTTGCTCAAACCATCTGTGCCGAGGTATTTGCAAAAGATGTGAGGCTCGATAGTGTACGAGCTCCGATTTAAACAGTCGAGCATAAGGTTGTATTCGCTCAGTGATACAGATACAAGAACTCGGTAGTGCAGGATCCGCAATATTAAAGCATAGAACCGGCGGGAAACCGTCGTCAAGGGGAGAAGGCAGGGGGTTGGCAATGGGGTTAGGATCTGAACGAACACCTGAACGTCATTTGATAAGGCTTAGCTCAGAGGTAAATTGATGCAAGCCCAATCATACCTCATTTGGAAGGGAATAGAGGTGGAGCCTGGAGCGCCTAGTGGCCATGCTTCACGATAAAACGTGGGCTGCTACGCATTTGCCGGCATCGGTTCCATTAGAGAGGTGGGACAACCAATCATGAACGATATAATGGGATGAATGACCTTGAAGCGCTAAGGTTAACGGTCAATATGATGTAGAAGTGAGTACCCTTGGAAACTTCCCCAGATATTGCTGATAAGCCATGTCGATAAGAGTCCACCAGTTGCCCCTCGTTTCGTGGGACCAGCCAATCGGGTCCTGACGTCAGCATAGATGCGATGCTTGGACTTTATTACTAAAATACTCTCAATCCTTAGTCGGCCCGGTTCATTTCACGCAGGACACTCGGGCAGCCGGTGAGAAGCTCGGCTAGCCAAGACAAAACGGCTAATATCAGCCCCGTTTGCTACGGAATATGGGCGGGAGAAGTGCGCTAGGAAAGAGCACCCCACTCGGCGTTTTTCAGCCACCAATCTGATTCAATGCGGATAATTGGTAGGTGTTGTAGGTAACTAGAGCAAATATCCCGTAGTTGACGTTGTTCCTGCATAGATGGAAGACAACCACGAGAGTTGAACGATCTGCCCCTGTAAGGCAGATCGATGGTAGTGGAGAAAGAATGTGGTCAATTCAATGCGTTGCAGATCCCGATGGAAACTGTGCTGTAGACAAGGCTGAGGCCATTGTTATTTACCCGAGCAGACGTCATGCCGAGTTTTTATATTGATTCCCCGTGGTGGTCTCGGTGTGTTCGGTACCGAAAGGGCCTCATTTAATTTTCCGGAGACCCCGCGAAACAGACCATGTGCCCCGCCGCCGTCGCTTTATCTTTTCTGACCTTCGCTCCTGCCTCCTGCCTCCCCTCTTTTCTTCTTTTCTTCTTGTAGCTTGTCTCTCCCCCATCGCACAGCATACGCGCACTGTTCGCAATCAACCATGGTCGAAAACGTCCTTGATGATATCTCCCATCGGAGGTATAACCCACTCCGCGGTTCTTCTATCTTAGTGTCCCCTCACAGAACTAAGCGTCCTTGGCAGTAAGTCTTGAGAGAAAATTTCCTTGATTTTTAGGCGCATTGGCTGCCCTTGACCAAAAGAGGAATAAACAAACCTGAAGTTCTAGAGAGCTAAACTTCCGTTGTAAACAGAGGAGCTCAAGAAAGTCCTTCCAAGACAACTCTGCCCACCTATGACCCTGCTTGCTATCTGTGCCCAGGCAACAAGCGTGCGCAAGGAGATGCGAACCCCAAGTACGAAAAGACTTTCGTTTTCGTGAACGACTACAGCGCTGTCAAGGAGGAGCAAGCACCATATAGCCCGGACAATGCAGACGGTGCGTTCTCATATAAGCTAGAGCAGAAGGCGTAGGTCTATGTCACAGCGCTAACCTGTACATGATCTACTTTAGATCTGGAATCTTTCTTCCTGAAGGCAGAGCCTGTCACTGGCAAATGCTACGTGCTCACCTTCTCCGCGGCCCACAACCTCACCTTGGCAGATCTGTCTCCAGCCGAGATTGCTCCCGTCATTGACGCCTGGACTGAGATCTACAGTGCACATCTGTCACCCAAGTCACCGCTGGCTGCTCTTGCCCCTGCGACCACCCTCCCTCCCAACTCCCCCACCGCTGATCTGGCCAAACCCAAGGAGCAATATCGGTATATGCAGATTTTCGAGAATAAGGGCGCGGCCATGGGGTGCTCGAACCCTCACCCCCATGGACAAGTCTGGACCACCAGCTCGCTACCCGAAGAGCCAGCGATGGAGCTGGAACAACTTAAGAAATACCGCAAGGAGCACGGAGGCAAACACATGTTGGAAGATTATGCGGCTCTCGAAAGCCAGAAGAAGGAGCGTGTGGTGTTCGAGAACGACGCATTCCTGGTCGTCTGCCCCTGGTGGGGAGTTTGGCCATTCGAGACAATGATTGTTAGCAAACAACACAAGCGTGCGCTCGTTGACCTAAACGCCAACGAGAAGGCACAGTTGGCCGAAGCCATCGCGGAGGTCACTAGACGCTACGATAATTTGTTCGAGACGCACTTCCCATACAGCATGGGTATCCACCAGGCACCACTCGATGGGACTGAAGAGGAGATTGAGTCTTCGTATCTGCACTTGCACTTCTATCCTCCTTTGTTGCGCAGCGCAACTGTGCGGAAGTTTTTGGTTGGGTAAGTTATAGACCCTACGTATTCGCTCTCATCAGGTGGCTGATTGATTTCTAGTTATGAAATGATGGGCGAGCCTCAGCGAGACATCACCCCTGAGCAAGCGGCGGCAAGATTAAGGAATTGTGGTGGAGAGCTGTATAGGAAGAAGTTGGACGGGTAAGATATCACAAACAGAGTAGAGTAGAATGATCTCGTATTCTGAATGAGTCACGGTACATAGAAAGAACTTTTGTTAGCCATGGGTATCTAGTTAATTTTTTTTATTTCCCCTTCCTAACACCAGGACTGCATTGCATGTAAGCTTCATGCGATTGACCAGGATCTCAAGTAGAGAGAAAGAGAGGCGGCAGAGATACATGTAAAGAATTAAGCAGAGAGGTAGTGTTCCCTCTGGGTCACCATCCAAGCCAGAGTCGACGACGCAACGATAAGAGGGCTCACGAAACGTCCCTTGAGTTGGGCACTACCGAAACCCAGCCACTCGCCAACAAAGTGTACCAAGGCGATTCCAAAAGTCCAGATAGCAAGGTCATATGCCACAGGAGTCGTGATGTTGTAAGCTGCGTACATTCGGATCACGGCGGAGAGGAAAGTCCAGGTGCCAAAGGTGCGAGAGGATAAGGGGTTGGTTAGCGGACGACCATCAGCGGATCGTCCATTGTAAAGCTCCGCGGTGTAGGAGTCCGACCGGTACGCCTGGAGGCTGTTCGCCGAAGAGACCACCGAGACCTAGAAAGAGTTCAAACTTAACATGATGCCTGTGTGTGGATGAAGCGATTAAAGGAATTGTGAATAGGAGACGTACCAGGAAAAGCCACTTGGGCAGAAAGCCCTCGAAAGGAGGCAAGTAAGAGAGAATAGCAGCCATTGCTTATTGGATGGTGTGCTGTGGTGCGGGTAGTATCGAGTGATTGACGGAGCTTGCTTTTAGTTGGAGCGATCTGTGATGCTAGCTGAGACCTATAGCAAGCAGTAGCTTGGGGAAGGTGCACAAGCAATGGTTGGGGGCCGAGGTTCTTTTCTTGGCACAACAACTCTCATCCTGCTAACGTTCCTCCGATCTCCGCGTCGGCCGTGAATTCTCCCTCAAAAACCAACCCTTACCTCGATTGTTGGACCTCAATTCGTCTCATTCACGGGGAAAAGGCGCCAATCATGGATTTCCTGTCGAAACATACGACTTGCCTGTCTAATGTGGAGCTTAACCTTGCTCCCGGATGGCAGGCTGTCAGCGCGTATTTCCTTCTTGCAGCAGGAAGCTTGTTTGTCGCCTCTAGGGCTCTGACCTTTGTCAGAGTTCTTGCCAGCCTGTTTGTTCTTCCTGGAAAATCGGTAAGTCGTGGTTAAATTCTGGATAGAAAGACCTCAAAACCACTAACTTTTGATGTGCCAGCTTCGCTCTTTCGGCCCCAAGGGTAGCTGGGCCGTTGTCACAGGTGCCTCCGATGGATTGGGCAAGGAGTTCTCGCTTCAACTTGCTCGTGCTGGCTTCAATATCGTCCTCGTCTCCCGTACTGCCTCGAAGCTGACTGCGTTGTCCGAGGAGATCACCTCCAAGTACGCCTCCGTTCAGACGAAAACCCTGGCTATGGACTTTGCTCGCAACGAAGATAGCGACTACGACAAGCTGAAGACTCTAGTGGATGAGCTGGACGTAGCCATTCTAGTAAACAATGTTGGAAAGAGCCATGACATCCCCACGCCGTTTGCATTGACTTCTCAGGAGGAGATGACGGACATCATAACCATCAACTGCATGGGAACCCTGCGTGCTACTCAGTTGATCGTGCCGGGCATGATGCAGCGCAAGCGTGGTTTGATCCTGACAATGGGATCCTTTGGTGGCCTTCTCCCTACCCCTCTTCTTGCCACTTACTCTGGTAGCAAGGCCTTCCTGCAGCAGTGGTCGACGGCTCTCGGCTCGGAACTTGAGCAGCACGGTATCACTGTTGAGCTCGTACAGGCATATCTCATCACTTCTGCTATGTCAAAGATTCGCCGGGCCAGTGCTACGATCCCCGATCCCCGGTCGTTTGTCAAGTCGGTGTTGTCCAAGATTGGACGCAATGGCGGATCTCCATTCTATGCTTACAGCTCGTCGCCCTACTGGAGCCATGGATTGATGGCCTACTTCTTGACCTGCATCGCCGGAACCATGGGGAAGTTCGTTACTGCTCAGAATCGGGGAATGCACGAGTCCATTCGGAAGCGAGCTCTGCGCAAGGCCGAGCGCGAAAAGGCCAAGAAGAGCACTTAAGCAAAGGTATCTGCCGTGCTTGAACTTTGTTGCTACAGAGACTCGCAGTATATCGTGTGATTGATACGGCAGGGAGGGCAGCATGATGACATGAATTTCAGTGTTTATTTGGTTAATCCGTTGTTTGAACAAGATTGGGCGCTGTATGATCTTGGGTGAAGACACTGCAAAAAAAAATGCATCGTTTTATTACGCTAGTAGAAGTTTAATCGACGTCAGAAACACAATCTATTTCATTGGAGGTGATTATTATTGATAGTGTTCATGATTAGATCACTAGGTGTTAGGTTGGCTGCCGGACAGTTCCTCGGTCTACAAGAAGTAATGCGGTATATAGCTTTCTAGCTTCCACATTTTATACCCAGTGAGCAGCAGTACAGCCTCTGCATTCTACATCAGACTAATACTTCCCTCTCAGTATTACGATATGAGGTGCCAATGTGGAGAGTGCTCGATAGAAACAACTATATATGCCGCTCGCAGGGTTACAGTGACTAGCATATTATATGTATCGTTTCAACACCACGGCGATCCTTATGTCCACCTTAATAGCTTCAACTGCCAATCGCTAGCTCCATAAGCTGACAAGAACATGCTCTTTTCTACCGCATCCCAGAGAGAGGAATGTGAGGGTGCATCGATCGAGGCAGATGTTTCGTCTGAGCGCCGTTCTGAACACCTCACAGGATATCTGGATCGGTTCAGTGGAAGGGTTTAGGTAGTACTAATAAATTAGATAGGTCACATTGGCCGAACATAGTGTTGAAAGCCTTGGGTAGCCTGAGGTAGCGGGGTTCTGATCACGTTGTCTAGTATACACAGAACGTCTGAGGTGCCTGAGTCCACCATGGAATAGACTATATCCTCTAGGCCCTGTGTTCGAAGGCCCTGGCAGTCGCATTTAAGGTATTTCCGGTTGCAATGACCTTTGTCAAGGCTTCTTCCATTGCTCTGGAACCTTAATGCAAGTGTACGTTGGTGCTATCGGAATCAATAGCCAGGTTATCACCTGTGCTAGCTCGAAAATGAGTATATTCCACAGGTCACAAATCAGCCATTCTTCGTGTCATCCCGGGTGGCGAGGAAGAGCTCAGAGGCCAAGTATTAATCGGAGGCGAATATGATCACCATGCCATGGACGGCAGTTATGAACAGTATCCCATTAGCCTAGTACTTTCGGAACCCCAAGCATTGGCACTGGCACTGGCATTAGCATGCAAGGACTGCGGGAGAAAGTCGTACGACTTTTCTAAACCAGGTCGAATGTCTTGTCCTGAGGGTAAGCCCCTGATATAGAACAAGCTAAGCTACTTTGATACAGCTACTGATAGGCAAATCCACCGACTCACCAATCAAGTGCCAGCGATAGGCCTAAAAATGCAGCTGGTGTGGAGCTGGTGGCCGGTTACTGTATAGGGCTATAGTCTCATCTCCGGTGAATGTCTTTGTACTTCGTCGCCATGACTTTTCCCAAGAACCGATTCTGGAGTACCACGTGTTGCAGAAACCGGAGGTTTGGGGTTTTGATTCTCGATACTGGAGTGCTGGGGTCTGGAGAAACACGCGATGTCTTTATTGACATGGAGTAGAGAAGCTGGGGAAGTCTGCAGCCCAAGAGTTGGCGTATAGCTTAATCCGTGATGTTCTGGTAACACAAACATACACACTATTGCGCACTATTTCTTCCGTCTATAACACAATGCATTATTGATAGCCAGCAAACAAAGCTGTTTGTTTCTCAGCAGTCCAATTTTGCCTATAATGGTGCTATAGTGCTGTGTGATATCATCTGGGTAGCATCATGGATGTCATATCCCGGCAGTACTGTGCAACTACGACAACCTGGCTACGAAAATTCTCTGTGATACTCTACCACGGAACATAGCATGCAATCTTATGACGCAGGCCGAGATACCTGTGAAACACATTTGCCATCCCGAGAAACCCGCCAATAGTAAAATTTGCGGTGCCATAGCTGGCCCAGGCACATCGGTTGGTTTCCATGGTATTGCCGCCGAGAAAAAAATGCACGTCTCGGTCTGTGATCTACTGATCATAGGATCGTCAATATAGACAAGGAAGCAAAAAGAAGCAACAGACAAGCAAAGACTATCAAGAGACATGAAGGCAAAAAAGTTATACAAACACATGATTTAGATTGCATGATGACTTCTAAGATTGTCATACCACCGTGAGTTGACCACGAACAGCGTCGCCTAGATGCCCGACTGACTAAACAGGTTAACTGCTTCTGTTGATCTGCATGCAGACTTTTCCCGACTAGACTCAATCCATTAAGGTCTGCTTCCGTACGGCATGCCGATGTGTCCTGGGTAGGGTAACGCCGTGGTTTCACCGGAGGCCGAATTGGTCGAGGCTGAGAGATTTTGCTCGGCAGGCCTCCGAGTGGGACCACGGCCCACGTAGGAAAATAGGGAACCTCAGCCGTTGTTTGTTGAGACTAAAGTTGCACCATTCAACATCGGCTCTACTAAAGTCCGCACTTCTCAACGATGGTTGGATGAGAATCGGACAGTGGGTCAGACGCCAAGGTAGCATTGAGGCGACGATCCACCACTCGAACGCACCAGCAGAAATTTTTTCTCCTAGGTTAGGGCGAAGCTATTCCGTATGTGACGTGAGTTGACCGAATCGGCACACCGAGTCACTGACGGACCACGATGCCGACTTCTCGGACGGCCGATAGGTTCGGAATGATTCCAATGGCATACATACATAGCAGAAGACATGCATTGGATATTATTGTAGGTATCGCAGTCAGACAATGTGGCCTTCTACTAAATATTGAATTTGTCACCTCGTAATCATATTTCTCCTTTTTTTTTGTTTTTTTTCTAGCCAAGCCTACAGTGACAGAGTTCGGATGCTGCGTAGGTTAACTTTATCGGCACCCATCATTACCTTCCACTTACCGACTCGGGATCGCCCAGAATTTTTTTTCTCTCGGGGTGGATCCATTTAGATCTGCCACGACTCTTGGTACCAGCTCGGAACCAGAAAACTTTACTCATAGTACGTATTGTGTGTCTTCAGGGGAACTATAATTAAATTTGGGGCTAGAAAAAAAAAATGAAAAATAAAAATTGAGCGAGGGAGATTTGCATGGACCTCGTTAACATCGTTAAAACAACTCTGTTGAGAAAGGAGTCAAGGGATGTTGTGGAACGTCAAATGTAAACAATTGCCCGTAGATCTTCCTGTATCCCAACCAACAGAATAATTCTGCGTGTGAATCCTGAAATGTTATGCGGCAAAGGAATTAAGTGTGTGTGTAAACAGAGTCGGGCTGAATGTCAGTCAACTACCATGGCCGTGAGACAATACGGAAAAAACTACGTAGTATCTACAGTGGAATAGAATAATCTGGATACTACCAGAGTTCTACAATAAAGAATTGAGTAAAAAAAATCAAAAGAAAATAATAAAAGAAAATAAACTAAAAAAAACAGGCGAGCATCATGAGACGCACATGACGTCCCCGTGACTGTTTTGGAGGAATTCCAGACTCTTTTGTTTCTCTGCGCTTTCACGATAGTCGACGGCGAGCCCGGCAACGAACCTCAACCCATCCATGCCAACGATAACTTTACTCTTTTGGTCGTCTCCAGGCACATCCCCACTGTCTCCCCACTGCAAGAGTCTCTGTCGAAGCATCCAAGAACACACTCCGCCCCCCTAGCATCCGACTATCCTTCCTGGTTCGGTCCTTGAGATCTGGGCCCCCGTTTTTCCTGCCATGGTCCCTTCCCCGAGAATGGGGTGCCCTCCAATCCCTGGGATGGAGGCGACGTTTTGTCTTGCCGACGTATGGACCGTTCATGTAAAACCTTTCATTTAATTTTCGTTAAGCGCACTAATAATCCCACGATGCGGTTATTAACTTCCGACGCTGGGTTATATATCTCCACGCTTCCCACGTTGCCTCCCCGGTTTCCTTCTCTCTTCTCATCCCATCTTTCATCCCTTCATCAACCACCAAGGATTCGTTAGATCACTGAGGAATCCATCTGTCATCATGGGTGTCTCTAATCTGATGGCCCGGCTTAAGCCGCAGGCCGACCAGCCTGAACACCAGGAACACTCCGATACCCCTACTCCTGTCAGAGCCGACTCAAGCTTGGAGAAGGATAATGTCATGCTTGACGATAGCCCCGTCAAGTATCTGACATGGCGGTCCTTCATCTTGGGTTTGTGTGTCTCGATGGGTGGCTTTATCTTCGGTTACTCAACCGGTATGTCAACGTCCCTTTGGAGAACCTACCATGCTTTTTACTGACTTTGACCTCAGGTCAAATTGCTGGCTTTACAACTATGAATGATTTCAAGATGCGCTTTGCGGAACAGCACGCTGATGGAACATACGCTTTCAGCAACGTGCGCAATGGTTTGATTGTCGGTCTGGTAAGTCCATGAATGCTATACTTTGACTGGGCGAATGAGGATCAAACTAATCTGGCTGCAGTTGTCCATTGGTACCATGATTGGCGCCCTCGTCGCTGCTCCTATCGCCGATCGTATTGGTCGCAAATACTCTATCTCCTTCTGGTCGGTGATCCACATCGTCGGTATCATCATTCAGATCGCTACCACCGACAATTGGGTCCAAGTTGCTATGGGTCGTTGGGTGGCCGGTCTGGGTGTCGGCGCTCTGTCCAGTATCGTCCCCATGTATCAGAGTGAGTCCGCTCCTCGTCAGGTCCGTGGTGCCATGGTCAGTGCCTTCCAGCTGTTCGTTGCCTTCGGTATCTTCATCTCTTATCTTGTCAACTTCGGTACCGAATCCATCAACGGTACCGCTTCCTGGCGTATCACTATGGGCATCGGCTTCGCCTGGCCCTTGATCCTGGGTGTTGGTACTTTGTTCCTTCCCGAGTCTCCCCGTTTTGCCTACCGTCAGGGCCGTGTCGAAGAAGCCCGTGAGGTTATGTGCAAGCTTTACGGTGTCGGCCCTAATCACCGGTGTATCGCCCAGGAGATGAAGGACATGAAGGACAAGCTCGAGGAGGAGAAGGCTGCCGGACAGGCTGGCTTTTTCGAAGTCTTCACTGGTCCCCGTATGTTCTACCGTGTTATGCTGGGAATTGCTTTGCAGTCGCTGCAGCAGCTCACTGGAGCCAACTTCCTCTTCTACTACGGTAACACCATTTTCACTTCTACCGGTTTGAACAACAGCTACGTCACTCAGATCATTCTGGGTGCCGTCAACTTCGGTATGACCCTTCCCGGTCTCTACGTGGTTGAGCACTTCGGTCGTCGTAACAGTCTGATGGTCGGTGCCTCCTGGATGTTCATCTGCTTCATGATCTGGGCCTCCATCGGTCACTTCGCCTTGGACTTGGAGAACCCTCCCAACACCCCTCAGGCTGGTACTGCCATGATTGTCTTCACTTGCTTCTTCATCGTCGGCTTCGCCACCACCTGGGGACCTATCGTGTGGGCTATCTGTGGTGAGATGTACCCTGCTCGCTACCGTGCCGTCTGCATTGGTCTTGCCACTGCTGCCAACTGGACCTGGAACTTTTTGATCTCTTTCTTCACCCCCTTCATCTCCAGCTCTATCGACTTTGCCTACGGTTACGTCTTCGCAGGCTGCTGCTTTGCTGCCGTGCTCGTCGTCTTCTTCTTCGTCAATGAGACCCAGGGTCGTACCCTTGAGGAAGTCGACACTATGTACGTCCTCCACGTCAAGCCCTGGAAGAGTGCTGGCTGGACGCCCCCGGAGGGCATCGTCCGCGATATCCAAGGACCCCCCGCTTCCCCAAAGCAGGAGGGTCGGGCTGAGCACAGCGAGCCCGCCACCGAGATCCGCGAGTAAATGGTATCATGTCTAATGAACCAGCTACGGCCGTCGCTTACGCATTGATACAACGTTTTTGTGTTTTTCGTCGTCCTCTGTAATCCTTTTTAATGTTGTGGCGCAACTCTTCTCCTTTTGAATGTTCTGAATATAGCGATGTGAATGCATGCATGCATGAGTACATATGTTGAGGGGCCATGAATATGGCATGACTTTTGGAACCAAGGAACCTACTGGCGTTTTGGGTGCATAAACCAGCAAAGCAAACATTACGAGCTTATGCAGTTTAAAGAGAAATAAAAATAATATAATATATGACAAATAACTCGATCTTATCTCTTGTAAAAGATCTATCACCAGCGAACGGTCCGACACAAGGTATAAAACTCTAGATAAGTTAACAAATGCAAATGACAGCATAGAGGTGGGTACGAAGACGAGAGTTATCTATGGTAAACCATTTGTATATGGCGAATTGATTTGCCAGTTGATTTCTGGGAGTACTAATAGGGAAGAGAAATATCTCAAGTCTCTAGTCAATGATACGCCACGGAGAAGTGACAAAATGGAGAGTCAATCAAGGCAAAATGATCAATTTTTATTTCTATCTTCGTCTTCGCGTTCATCAAAATATTCAAATCAATCAAGCCGATAAATGCTGATTCGGTTGGGTCGGAACAACCCCAGGTATTTACGCAGCAGTATAATTCATCCGGAGACTGTAACAAACAATCAAAACATGAAGAAACATAACCCCCGACGCCCTGTTTTTTGACACCCAGTTCATGACATGTAGAAGATGAGATATATTAAGGGGTGGTGACATCGTCTCATCGTGCACTCGGCACTTGAAGACAAGGCCTTTACCGACGTTGAGTCTTGCCGATGGTACGCTTGCCGGTGAACTAGAGACATACGTTAGTGAATGAGCAACAGGGGTAAAAGGGTGACTGTGAGGACATACCAAGTGCTTGGGGAGAGATGCAGTAGTGTGGCGATCGGCCTCTCCGGCTCTTGCCATGCGGTTCATCTTCTTCTGGCCCAGCTTCTTGAGACGCTCGGCCTTGCTGCGAGCCGTGGTATCGGTAACACCGTCCAGGAGACGGTTGGTTGCTGCCTGGCTACGGGCACGGCCCTTGGCCTTGGCGATGGCTTGGCGAGGATCAGACATGTCGACATCCATAGCATCGTCGCCATCAGCATCGCGAGTAGTGGTACGTCCACGGGTTTGGCTTTTGGAGCGGGCACGAGCGGAAGCAGCATCGACATCGTAGCCGGCCTCTTCGAGAGCATTCTCCATTTGGGACAGCGACTTGGCCTTGGCGCTACGAGGGATTTGTGCGCGGTTCTTGAGAGACTTGCGCATCTTCGCGTCGTTGCGCATCAAAGCCCGCTTCTCACGAATCAAGTCTGCCTTCATGCGGGTGTCTGCATCCTCAGCATCTTCCACGCTCTCATCAGAGTCGTAGTAACCGTCAGCTTCCAGCTTCTCTTCCTCTTCCTCCAAAGCGGCCAATTTCTGCTCAATATCGGGATCCACGAAATCGTAGATGTTCTTGCCGTTCCACACTTCGGGAATCTTATCATGCTTCCATTCGTCATTGGCCAAGTCGTAGGTCTTCTTGAGGTCAATGTTGTAGACACCAGCACCACCGTTCTCCTCCTCAATGTCCCTCTCCAACTTCTTCCGGTTAGGATCATCCTTGTCGTATTTCTGGAGGGTCTTAACGGCCTCAGGGATGAAGGTTTCACGTTGAACACCACCCATGGGCTGTGCAACATGAATACGGGCAAGGACATCACCCAGACGTCCACCGGGAGTACCAGAGCTGTTTGTTCCAGACTTGAGTTTCTGTGCCACTCGTTCGGCCAGTAGCTTGTCGCAAGCGGCGTTCTTCACGTTAGTTACACCCTCAGTAGTGGTGCAAGACAACTGCAGCATTTCCACATCTCCAGACTTGAGGATCGACTCGATCTCTTGCTGGTATTCGGGTTCCAAATCCTCGGGGCGCCTGACATCAATCTTGTTGACGACAAGGAAGACAATTTTGTTGGCGAATAGCGGGCGGATGCTGTGGAACAGCTTGATTTGGTCGGCGACGGAGTAGCCACACTGTTCGGAGAAATCCATGAAGTACATGACCGCGGAGCGAAGGTGGGCAATGGCGGTAATGGATTGCATTTCAATCGTGTTCATCTCCTCCAGAGGGTGGTCCAAAATTCCGGGGGTATCAATGGCTTGGAATCGCAAGTACTTATAGTCGAAATGACCGACGAACAAACTCTTGGTTGTGAATGCATATGGCTGAACGTCAACATCGGCCTTGGTGATGCTGCGCAAAAAGCTAGACTTTCCGACGTTGGGGTACCCGCAGATCAGGAGAGTTCGGGTGTTGGGATCGATGGATGGCAAACGGCCCAAATGTTGACGGACTTGCTCGAGGTAGACCAGAGGGTCTTTGAGACGTCTGCAAATGGTGGCCATGCGACCGAGGGCCGCGCGCTTCAGCTGCTTGCACTGGAACAGAGACTGGGCATATTTGATCAAACGGACATAATCGCGGGAAACAGTCTCAATAAGATGTTTGGCGGTAGAAACTTGACCCAAAGCGATTCTGAAATGGTCGGCATCGTAGAGTGTGTTCATCAAGTCCTTGTCTAGTAACTGTTAGACAGTCGCACCGGGAGAATAATCAAAAGCCTAAAAACCTACGGAAAGGATGAATATCCTGAAGCCGGGGGAATCCATCTAGAATGGCCTGGAACTTTTCGCAGAATGTCTCCTGGGTATATTTGACCTTTCGGGTATAAAAGCCTAACCAGCGGGGGCAAAATTCGTATCAGCAAAATCCGAGTTTTATCTTGTTAATTCGGATCACAATCACTTTGGTCCGAAATTAACGATCGGGGATTGCGAAATACCTCTGATACGGCTGATTTTGAAACCAGCACGGATCTGAGTCGGCAGCTGTCTCTGGGTACGGCTGAGAACGACGTCCAGAAATTCCTGGCTCGTGGGCACAGGAGCGATCTGAGAAAAATACTCTATCAGTTTGACGGTTCTAGAGCGTGACGGCAGCATTTCAGGCGCAACCAAAGATAACTCACATCCTTCCAAGTGGTCTTCATGATGGGCAACCTGAGAAGTACCAAATATGACTCTCAAGAATATCCCAGAAGGTGATGATAAGATTTTGAAGTCTCCGAGTCGAAGCACTTGCTGAACAAAAACGAAAAAAAAAATATTCCGGGCGGTCGGCGCAAAGTTTTGGCGGGCGGTGAGAGATGCAATGTGGGGAACTTTTTTTCCTTCTTAGTAGCCGAGAGAAAAGAGACCCGTCCAGATAAACTACTTATTATAGTTCCTGTCGACTTCGTTACAAATAGTTCAGTTTCATGGTTTTCCCTCTTCAATTGCTCTCTATCATGATCATGTACATTGAACTACCGCGGGACTATGATACACAAATATTCCTGCCCTGACCTGAAAAACTAGCCGCCTATTCATGGTCGTCATCAGCATGGGGTATCTGTCCCAGAACCATCGTAGCCCAGACAAACTCCGTTGCATTTCTCTTGAACCCATCATGTAAGAAGACCGAACCCAGTGTTTCAACATAACATGCGTCAAATGTCGCGTGGGAATTGTGAAAATCAACAACAAAGGGGAAACCTAAAACAGGAGGAAAAGGAAGATATCATTGAAGGGGAAAAAGTGAGAAAAGAGGAAAAAGGGCCAGGTAAGAGGAAGACATGTCAACGAGGCGGCGCAACATCATTCGTAGCAATCCTAACCAACCATGACGATTTACTCTCCGATGAATTCCAACACCTGCCGTTGGTCAGTTACAGGCTGCAAGTAGGTGTACTTTTCAGAATAACTTCACTTACCAAATTTGTCCAACCGCCGCCGCCAAACTGACACTTGCTAGGACCACGGTTCTCGAATCCAAAAGATTCGTAGAATGGCACGAGATGATCATGGGCTATGATCGAAATGCGCTCGGCGATCTGTGCTTCTCTGATCCTGTGGATGTAGGACTTCAACAACGTGGTGGCAACCTGCTTGCCTTGGTGCTCCGGCAAAACAGCCAAGGAATGGATAGCAATCGTGGCACCATCTTCGTCATGGCCGACGGTCTCTCCGTTCTCCACAGTCATGCGCTCGGTTTGCCAGTTCACGGGAAGCTCCATAGCCTTGTCGGTCACAAGCGGAGTCGAAATGCGAGTCGCAACGATGTGTCCAACCAAGGTCGGGCGAGGCTTCGGCTGGTCCTCTCCTAAGATAGGCAGTGTAAAGAGACCCAAGCAAAGTTCGGGGCATCGGTTCAGGCGATATACAAACTTTGACACCAAGTCAGCCAGGCAACAGATCGGAAAGTTGGAGTGGAGAATATGTCCATACCTTCTCTCGGGTACAGCGCTCTTGTTCGGGAAACGCGCTCTCCACGTTGACACAGTCCTCCACATTCGACACAGTCAAGATCTGTACAAAAGGGTGCAACTCGTCCAGCTTCGTGCGTTGATGCACAGGCGGGCGACGGAACCAATAAGGAAATTCGTTAATATCGTCATGGTCCACTGCAACGTAGTCTTCGTCGACCTCTTCTTCGTCGTCATCATCCACCTCTTCCATGGGGATCCCGTTGGCCATTGAAAAATCTCCACGGGCGCTCAGGCGTGAGAGGTCATCCCCGGTCGTAGGCAAGGAGAACCCGTCCGCGTTCGATAACGGCTTGAACCCATTGATGGGCTGGTCCGCAGCCGACTTATCGAAGGTATAATCAGACATTATCTGTCGCTCTCAGGACTCGATTTTCAGTAGGTCGCAAGCCAACGTTCCTTTTGAATTTGCAGGGCAGATGGAAAGAAAATTTGTAAAATGCGAAAGCAGACAGATATACTCGAAGAGAGGGGAGAAAAAGTCCAAGCGGACAGGAGTTGCTGAAAGCGCAGGATTGTGGAAAGGATTGGCTGAAGGGGACCCTAGGAGGGATGAAAAAGAGTCGAATCGAGGGGCGTGAATCCTCGGAAAATGGTGGGGATCAAAAATTAGCTCTGATGCGGACAGGCGATAAGAACTTGAGTCGGGTTGCAGTTCCAGAAGCTTAGGGCCGGGTCGTAAGCCAAAAGACGCAAGCCACCAGTCAAGCCTGAATGAAAGGAGGTTTTCAAGTTAGGAACTGGAAAGTGCAGTTTACCAACCAGATCTTCTTAACGCACGTAAGGGAATGTGAGTGGATTGTTGTGTGCCAAAGGGTGGACACAGTGAGGCGTTTGATTGCCACTCACACAGAGGCAAATGAAGGATACTGTATTGTG